AAATCTGTCATATAATTGGAGTGTATTTACTATTCATATCTATTTTGGTTGTAAAGAGACACCACTGCAGTCTACATTCAGGTAAATACAATGAGTATACACTGTACTTCAAAAACTAATTCGACACTCCTTCTTCACACCCTATTACCGGCAATCGGGACTGTCGATGCGAGGCCTAGTCTGGTCCGATTTATAGAAAAAAAAATACTTCTATCGGCAAATAATTATTATTTGGTCCAGCATAGTTTTTAAACCTATTTCGAGTATGCTGAATCCGAAAATATATGCTGGCCTTCATGAAAATGGCGTTAAAGAGGTCAAAATGGCGATTCAAAATGGCGGACATCCAATTTTTTAATTTCCTCTTAATGTCGTTCAAAATGGAGAAGTAATGAGTGAATATCTAACTGAGTGTAATAAAACTATAAAAAGGATAATAAAATGCTAACATTATTAGTTTAACTCAAAAAATTTAGTCGTTTATTCACTTAATTTGAATTTTCTCTGATTTATTTGTCTATTGTTTCTCTATTCTTCTTTGTTCAGGATTTTACATTTGCAAATATCCATACACTACAGATTTGTATTTTTTCCTCTACATCTCACTATTCTACAATTGAATGATGATGCGGCTGTAAGTTAAAAGTCAAAATGGCGATTCAAAATGGCGGGTATTAATTTTTTTTTTCAAATTATTTCTTAATGTCGTTTACGTACGAGAAAGGAATTGTGAATATCTTACTGAGCGTAGTACAACTATGTAAAATGATAATAGAAATAGAAAAATAATTACAATTTGTTTTTATATATAGTATATATATCGTATATTGATTAGTCCATTAAATATGAACAAACAAACAAAAAAATCTAGGAAAGATTCATTTTTTGCGGGAAATAGTTAAAACAAACTCGACTTAAGAGGTTTCAAATTCCCCCCCTCGGATTTGACCGTGGTACAAAGCCTTTGAGCCCCCATCCACCTAAAATCATTCCTGAATCGCTGTCATTATCAACTCGCACTTTTACTTCAACATCCCTCACTGGCTCAGCACACCTTCAAATACAACTGAAGAAATTCTTGTCCGATTTCATCGAACACTTTGTACTAACTTTTGAAATCAGCACTTATAAGAACTTAGTATTATCCCTTAACATCTTCTGTTCCAGCTTTATTTGCTATATGTTTCAGTGTGTCTTCGGAATATTGATATTTTCAACACTCAAGTAAAATGGTGCCCAGTGTCAAGGATGACAACCCCCTTGGCACGTAAAAGATCATTTCTCTGGAGTTCGAAAAAGACTAAGCTCACTGGGGGCCGCCAGAGAAACCAAAATCACTCAAAAACCGATTATTTAAACTGATAGTCCGCCGAAACATGGGTGAAATTTGCCGACTCGGCGTTAAACAATATACAATCAATCAATCAACACTCAAGGAACATTTATGTTCAAATGTTAACGGTATATTTTGTTTTCCAAAACCTTATGCAAAATGAACTAGAAGTAATGTGAGCAATTAGCTCACTAAATGATGTCCCCGTCTCTCATATGAATATAATGACAGTGTCCATATTTTGCTATGAGGTGCACAATGGCAATATGTAATAAAAATTCTGTGAAAGTTTCATCAAATTTTATTCAGTGGTATGAGAGGAGTTGCGGATAAGAGATTGGTACCCCAAAGCGTAACAGACGGACCGATTACTTTATACCCTCCCGCTTTTCAATCATGCAATTTAAGAGCGCCTGCAGATTCCTCGTGATTCCTATCACGTACAAGCTTTCATACCAATAGGCCCAAGCCATTCTTGACTTCAATCTAGTCAACACTTCTCTTGACAACAAAATTTTCTTGAACACTCCAAGAATTTTACATGTACAAGGCAACTTGATCCACACTACTTTGTTAGGATAGTGTAAGGTCGAATCAAGAATCGAGGGGGGATTGAACACAAACGTTTTCTTCTTTAAGATTTTGTAAATTTCAAAATTTTTAAATTTATATACACTGTTCAATACAAGATTATCCGTTCACAACATGAAATATTTGAAAATGCAGTTGAATTTTTGACTGAGAATAACAAAATGCAAATGCAAATGCAGAATCAGAGCTGGACAATCAAGAAAATTTATGGTTTACGTATATTATACTAATAATTCTTAATAAATGTTTATACTTGGATATTATAATATGTTCAGATTTACATGTATATGATGTAATAATTACTAGCCCTCTAATTGGTCGTGGTCCATCATTTTAAAAATCATGATAAGTTATGTTGCACTAGACCTTCCACGTGAACATAAACATTTATTTTTTTCTACACTGGACTAAAAATAGATCAAGAATTTCCAACTGATATGATTTAGCAACCCTCAAACTACAATGTTCACTCGCCTTAATGTTCGGTGAATACTGCTCTTGGGGTAGCTTAATTTTCATATTGTCCTCAAAGCAGCAATTATTGTATATTATTAACTTTTTATATGAAGAAGCATGGTGAGACAGGTAATAGGTAAAAATGTCTTCGGAATTGTCGTCGAAAATTTATCTTAATAATAGAAGTATATCAAAGAGAAATCCCTGTTATAAAAATCCTAATTCTTTAACAAATTTATTGCATATTTGAACATTATTTCATGAATAAAAAAAACGTGTAATTTATTTTTCCGCAAAACGAATCAGAATTAAGCAGTTTGGGTATTTTACGAAATTCGAGTGTATATGACGTCATTTGAATTGCCATTTTGAGCTAATTAACACATTTTAAATTTAAACGCTAAATTTTCCGAATTAAAGTGATCATATTAGTGTTCTATTATCATTTTACATAGTTTTACAACGCTCTGTAATATATTTACAAATCTTTCCTCCTATGTAAACGACATTAAGAAATGATTTGAAAAAAAAATGAATATCCGCATTTGAATCGCCATTTTGACTTTTAACTTACAGCTGCATCATCATTCAATTGTAGAATAGTGAGATGTAGAGGAAAAAATACAAATCTGCAGTGTATGGATATTTGCAAGTGTAAAATCCTGAACAAATTAAGAAGAATAGAGAAACAATAGACAAATAAATCAGAGAAAATTCGAATTAAGTGAATAAACGACTAAATTTTTTGAGTTAAACTAATAATGTTAGCTTTTTATTATCCTTTTTATAGTTTTATTACACTCAGTTAGATATTCACTCATTACTTCTCCATTTTGAACGACATTTAGAGGAAATTAGAAAAATTGGATGTCCGCCATTTTGAATCGCCATTTTGACCTCTTTAACGCCATTTTCATGAAGGCCAGCATATTTTTTCGGATTTAGCATACTCGAAATAGGTTAAAAAGCTATGCTAGACCAAATAATAATTATTTGCCGTTAGAAGCTATTTCTAGCCTTCTTTTTTAAAATCAGGACCAGACCATAATATCATATTAGATTATTAATAATATTCATTTACCGGTACTTTATTTGTTTGGTGCTTTCCCGTTTTGATTATACCATAAACTACTTTTCTGTTCAATATAAAACTATGATTTATTATTAAAACAAGACGCTCACGGGCCTTATATCATGTGACAACTTTTCAATAATTGAATTTGGTTCGTGTTTTACACCAGAGCCTATTCACAATTTTGAAAGAGGCACCATTGCTTATCATAACTGTACACTTAGCAGTTAGCATGCTTACTCTGGTTACAAAGACAAAATGCATTTCCACTCTCTAAGCAGTTGTGCTCCCCACCCCACAGGAACCATTGACCCCGGGTGCACATATTTCAAAATTTTGGAAATTTAATAATAAACTTTATTTCATCATAAATGGTTGATTATAATACCAAAGAGCAAATTTCAATGCATTGTTATTTTCAGACTAACCCCCCCCCCCAATACCCCTGACCCAAGGGGCCCTGAAACCATTTGATAAAAACTTAAGCCTTTTACGCATCATTTTATATAAATCTTTCATATGTTTCTGTTTGCATTTAAAAAATAAGGTATCATTTTTAAACAGCTGTCGGCATATAAATACGGGTTGGTCACGAGATCAAATTCCATGATGCCCGAGGGGCTTTATGGTGAATTTGATCTTGTACCAACCCGTATTTATAGCCCGGTAGATGTTTTTAAAATGAGACCTTATTACTTATAATTTACATACCGGGTATGTGACATTCTGTTTTAAAATGTATCTTAGCTTTTTAGCTCATCTGAGTAGAAAACTCGGGTGAGTTTTTCTGATCACCTGCTCCCCGTTGTCCGACTTTAAACTTTTCACATAAATTATAATCGTCTCAAAAACCACTCAAGGCCCATTTTTAACCAAAGTTGGTACAAAGCATAACATGGTTGAAGGGAGGGGGTTAAATTGAATGGCAACTTCCCTCACAAAAGGAGATAATCAAGAAAAGACAAGGATGGGGTCATTAAAAATCATTTCATACTAAAACAGAAATTAAAGCTGAAACTTGTTTGAAAGCATCTTCAGGTAATTTTCTGTTCTAAATTGTTGAAATCATGACCCCCCGATGTAGGGTTGGGCCACTGTAGGGAATGAAAGTTAACATAGAATATATAGGAAAAATCTTTCAAAATATTCATCTCTGTTTTGAAGAACCAATGGGTCTGAAAAGCTGAAACTTACATGATCATGATGATAAAAATGAAGATATGATAAAAATGATGATATGATAAAAATCATTTTAGTTTAAATTATAAAATCAGTTTAGATCCAAAAGGTTGTGTAATGCAGGCACGTAACAACAGGGGGTGGGGGGTGGGGGGGGGGGGCTGCCCCCCCCCCCACCCTTTTTCCAAACATTACTTTAATTTTTGGAAATGTTAATTGAAAGGCTGGTTGGCCCCTCACTTTATACTAAAGGAAATTGATATCAGGAAAATTTATAGTATTTAATTCCCCCTAAAATGGTACTGAAAAAAAGTTGGCCTCTACCTGAATGTTCTCTCTATTTAATTTTTACAGTCAGAAAGTGGTGCCATGGACCCAGAAATTCGTGCCCAGGAGTTGATACGATGTGATCTGTGCAAGACTGAAATTGTGCTGGTTCTCTGTGATACATGTCATTTCAAACTGTGTAAGGACTGTATAATAGAACACACAACGTTTGGTGACTCCTTGAAAAAGCATGAAATTGTAAAATTCACTGTTCGAAAATCAATACCACTTTACCCTTTTTGTACTGTTCATAACAAAGAACATTGTGAAATGTACTGTAACCAATGCGAGATTCCTGTCTGCATCGCCTGTATTGCATCTGATCAACATTCTGGTCATAAATTCTTAAAAATCTTGGATGTTTTGGAGGAAACGAAACAGAAGATCATCAAAGAAAAAAATGAATTGAAGGATTCAATATATCCAAAATACGAACAAATTGTATCTGATGCAGAAAACACCATACAACAGTTTGAAAACGAATGTGAAGGCCTCTCAGCAGCCATAACAAAACATGGAGAGGAATGGCACAGAGAAATTGACAAAGTTGTCACAAAACTAATAGCTAAGGTGGAGGAACTGAAAACAAATCAGCTACAACTTCTGCAGAAACATCTGGATGAAATCAAAAAGATCATTTCTGAAATCAGGGATGAAATTAACTCAATAGATGATGTTTTGGATTCACGGGACTTCTCAAAACTGACTGATTTCACATTAAATGTAGATAAATACAGAAAATTTCCACGACCAATTGTGCTGCCATCACCTAAATTGATCACTCCTATGAAAATCTCAGGAGATGAACTTTGTAGCCTGTTTGGAAACTTATCATTGGGTAAAAGACATGAAATAACACAAAAATTATCAGAAGCTGTATCATCTCCTGCAGCCAAGCTGCTACTTGATGAACCAGAAATCATCGCTACTATAAACACGAGGTACAGAATTAATCTTACAAATGTGGCCTATTTGAATGATGAAGAAATCTGGACAAGCGGAGAGGAAAACACCATGAAATTATTCCATATAAATCGGGACTCGCCAATCATTTCAATCAGAACAAAATCGAGAAACAGGCCCTTTGATATAGCAGTAACAAGAGATGGCAATCTTATTTATGCTGATTTCAGTGAAGGAACTGTGAATATTGTGAAGAAAGAAGGTACAGATATTGAATCTATAATCAGATTGCAGGATTGGAAACCTTTAAATATCTGCAGCACCTCTTTAGGTGACCTCTTGGTTGTTTTGGAAAGTATTAATAAAAAACAATCAAAGGTTGTACGTTTCTCTGGTTCCACAGAGAAAAATACCATACAATATGATGATAAGGGGAATCCTCTTTATTCATATGGTAATACTAAATGCATTTGTGAAAATAAGAATCTAGATATCTGTGTAGCTGACTTTAGAGCTGATGCAGTTATAGTCGTCAGCGAGGCAGGGAAATTGAGATTCAAGTATGTGCCACATATCACTACTTCAAAAAACCAATTATTCAGTCCAAGAGGAATAACCACAGACAGTCAGAGTCACATCCTTACAGCTGATATTACTATTAACTGTGTCCACATCATAGATCAAGATGGACAGTTCATCTGTCACATAGACTGTGGATTGAACAGTCCCTGGGGATTATGTGTAGACACAAAGAATAATTTGTTTGTTGCTGAATTTAGAGACAAACAAGTGAAGAAAATAAAGTACCTGAAGGAAAGTTGAACAATGAGCTGCAATAAAAATCTGAAATACAATTAACATACCCCGGTATTGTATATTGATAATCATATCATAAAAATCTTATACATGTTGGTCAACAGTAATCCATCAAATGTTCAGATGTTTGGATAATAGTATCATGCACAAGCACCTGACTTTACTTATTTTTCTTTAAATAATATACATGTACAATTATTGCTGTTTTTCTTAGGTCAATATGATGATTTAGACACCTGAGGAGTACAATATTGATCACTGAGCCCGAAGGTTGAAGTGAATATTGTATACTTTGAAGGTGGCTAAATCATCGTATTGACCGCAAAAACCAGCAATAACTGTTTAATTATATGATTATATATGATAGCAAACTCCTACAAGACTGTTTCTTTGCTTTAATTAAAAGTTTTAACAAGAAATTTCAACAAGAACACATTGTAACAGAAAAAATGGAACAGGTCAATAGAGGATATTCAATGTTTTGTTGTTGAATATGGAATTTATTTCACGAGTGGGACAGGATTTTTTGATATTTTCACGAGTGCGAAGCACGAGTGAAAATATCAAAAAATCCTGTCTCACGAGTGAAATAAATTCCATATTCAACTACAAAACATTGAATTTTCTATTTATTACATTTTCTTTGATTTTCCCTTTGCCTACGTCTTTTTTGTTATGCAGTTTTAGGCTACATGACGTCATAGTTGAGACGTCATAGCTAAGTGATAAACATTGTAAACATGAATTTTTGCAACATATTTGGGGAACTTGCTCAGTTTTATTTTATGACATAATGGTTCATGAACTCGTTTTCTATCTTATAACAGGTTAAGGAGTATTTTTTACAACATTCTTGGTGAAGGGAAGGAAAATCGAGAGTTTTTCCGCACTTCTGATATTCTTTCACACTGTGAAAGGATATCATTTTGATATCCTTTCACACCGTGGCAGGATATCACTTTTATTCAATGGATAAATTACAGTATTTCACTGTTAAAAATGTAATAAATAGTATTATTCCTTTTATTATATAGCTAATAAATAGTCACTAATAAAATACATTGTACTACCAAAAATCTAGAAATTTTAGCGTTCAATTTCTTGACGTTTTATTGATCGCTGACTTTGAAATTTGTTCTTGTACTAAACAGTTTTACGTGTGAACATCTTATTTTCTACATTCATCTACATTCACAAATTATATTTCAGCTGGTAAAAGGATTTACTCCTCTTTAGGCCAAAATAAACTAGATGCTGTCATGAGACAGTAATACCCGCACTATGGTGTTTGCCTCTAAATACACACTCCTTCATATTGGACTTTCCAAGGAAGGAGTCAAAATAATATTCTATAATTATCACCGTACATGTATTCGTCAAATTGAACATAAAATTTTCAGGTGACCATATGATCTATGAGCCTCACATGTGTATTTTGAATACTTAATTCATTACCAGTCTGAAATAACAGAATTTAATTAATGATTGAAGTAAATTACTTAATTAGATTCAGATAAATATTTTGCCCATAATTTGGAACTTTTTAAATTTACTTTCTCAACGACATAAAATATTATTTTAGTACAAAGCGTTTTTGATGAATTTATCAAAATGTGCAAACTGATTTTAGTACTTCGTCGGGAAAAAAACCCCATTGAAAATACAACCAGATTAATTTGTCAATGCCTATCTCTCTCTCTCTCCCCCCCCCCCCCCCCCCCCCTCACACACACTCTCTCTCACATTTTTTAAAAATAGACCTAGATGGCAAAGTTACCGGTATGTTAAAACATAGTTTATTATGATAGTTTGAAATTTGTTCTTGTACTAAACAGTTTTACGTGTGAACATCTTATTTTCTACATTCATCTACATTCACATTGGGTTTGCGTCACCCATTATCATATTTATAGATATCACCTCTCGGCACACCTCGGCCGATTCATACTGGCAACGGAATCAGCAAAGGTTTGTCGAATGAGATTATTTAGCACATGTATGCTGACGATGCAGTGTGGTCAGTTAAAATCATTTGTGTTTTATGGATTATATGGACTATATTTCATGAATTCGTTGTCACGACCTATGACATTCGGTAAGTACAAGATTTAGTATAGATTGCATAAAAATAAATAAATGCAAATGGTTAGGTTGAATTTCAAAAAGGGTCAAAGATCATCGCATGCCACAGTCGACAAATTTCCCATTGTCAAGTTATCTCCCGTTGCGGACATTCAGTATATACAGGCGCAGATCCAGAATTTTTTTTTTCAGAAAGGGGGGGGGGGTCACACCTCAGTCAAAAAAATCAGCCCAAGATTTCCTGAGAAGCAAATAAAAAATAATAATAAAAACAATGATGGTGGAGTCCCTGTTTTCTAAGGGGGAGGATGTCCAAAGTCATTTTTATTCTCTACAGTACATAGTCTTATTTAAATAACTGCTAATTCCGGGGGGGGGGGGGGGGGGGGGGGGGTCTGATCTCCCTAGCCACTGACTCCCTGTACCTGAAATGACAATTGATCTTATGACTCCATAATAGTAGAAAATTTTTTCATTTGACTATACAATGTATATACATATTTTGTTTCCTATGTTTATGTATGTTTGTCTGTCCACAGAAACTTTAACCTTGTCCATAAGTTTTAAGTGGATTGGGCTTTACACATGGCTTCAATATTTCATAGGTAAATTTCTTTTGGCAAAACCTTTTAATGGGTACCACCAATTTTGACCTCTTGATCTCTTGACCTTGGAGTTTGACCCACTTTTACAAGAAAAATACCTTAAACTTGGCCTAAGTTTTGAACAGGTGGTGCTTGGACTTTCATGCTCTAACATGTTTAATCATTGTGAACTTTCAACAGGTATAATTATTTTTGACCTAGACCTTAGAGTTGAACCCAATTTAACTTTAACCTTGGCAATAACTTTTGAACAGGTGAGGAAGTTCTAGGGATTTCTCTCTTTTTTCACATGTATATTCCTTGTGACAAGACTTTCCCTTTGATACCAACAATTTTGACCCTCTGACCTTGACCTTGGAGTTTGACTTACATTTGAGAGACTTCAACCTTTGCCAAAAGCTGCCATAACAGTTGCTGTCACAACAAACAAACAAATTACAATGTACTTAAAAAAACACAGTATACATGTACATATTTTATATTCAACAGATATACATCTGATCATATCTCTAGTTCTCCCTTGAATGAGACATGGTGATATAAATTTTAAAAAATAATTATGATAAGAGTTGAAAAGGTTGTGCATATTAAAATATACTAAGCTCTGCGGGTGAATTAGATATACCAGTTTAGCTTTATTTTGCTACCCAAAGCACCTTGATTAACTATTTATAAGCATACTGTTTTCTGAAATGTACTGATTTCTGTTGTCCATCTGTTTGTCTGCAAACTTTTTACATTAACTTCTTAAGAACCACTGGGCCAATATCAACCAATTTACATTTAAATATGCAGGGGACTTTTTCCAACATAAATCTTCTTCTCAAGAACAGCAAAGACATTTATTGTCCCCCATTTTCGCTAAAGGTAGGGTACATTAAATCTCATTTGTTTGTCAATCTGCCCATCTGTCACAATAAATTTAACCTTGGTCATCATGGTCGTATATTTTGAATGAGAAGAGACAGGACTTTTATATTAAACATGTGTATTAGTATTAAATGGGACAATACCATTCTAAATACACTATGATTTTTATTACCCATGACCTTGAAGTTTGACCTAATTTCATAAACAAATTAATTGCTTTAAATTGATCATTTTGAAAGATAAATGAAAGGGCATTCATATTACCTATGATAAGACCTTTCCAAATGTATCATGACTTTTTGACTCTGTGACCTTGACCTTGAAGTTTAACTTAGTTTTCACTAATGTTGTATTTCCTTTTCATTGAGAAGAGATTCGACTTTCACATTTCAAGTGAACATTACCCATAACAAGATGTTTCCCAACATGCTATGATTTTTTACCCCTTGACCTTGATGTTTTAACAAAATTTCAAAAGAGTGAACTCTCCCAAAAGAGGATAAGACCACTGTTTAAAACGAAAAAGGAGTTTAGGGTAGACTGGGCTTTTTCCATAAAAAACGTCATTTTTCGACCCTCATTTCACCCCCCCCGGGCAAAATCAAAATTTCGAAACCTAACTGCACATCTACATGACCCCACCAACCATCTCCCAAAAGATGATTAGGCTGCTGAATAAAATGTAAGAGGAGTTCAGGGAAAATGGGGCTTTTAGCATAAACAACGTCATTTTTCGACCCCCATTTGACCCCCTGGGGCAAAATCAAAATTCAGAAACCTTACTACACATCTGCATGACCCCACCAACCATCTCCCAAAAGATGATTAGGCTGCTGAGTAAAATGTAGAAGGAGTTCAGGGAAGACGGGGCTTTTTGCATAAAAAAGTCATTTTTCCACCCCCATTTGACCCCCCGGGGAAAAATCAAAATTACGAAATCCTACTGCACATCTACATGACACCACCAACCATCTTCCAAAAGATGATTAGGCTGCTGAATAAAATGTAAGAGGAGTTCAGGGAAGACGGAGCTTTTTGCTTAAAAAACGTCATTTTTCGACCCCCATTTGACCCCCTGGGGCAAAATCAAAATTCCGAAAGCTTACTGCACATCTACATGACCCCACCAACCATCTCCCAAAAGCTGGTTAGGCTTCTGAGTAAAATGTAGAAGGAGTTCAGGGAAGACGGGGCTTTTTGCATAAAAAACGTCATTTTTCGACCCCCATTTGACCCCCCGGGGCAAAATCAAAATTCCAAAACCTTACTGCACATCTACATGACCCCACCAACCATCTCCCAAAAGATGATTAAGCTACTGTGTAAAATGTAGGACGAGTTCAGGGAAGAAAAGTGTGACAGACGGACGGACGGACAGATGGACGGACGGACGGACATGAGTAACAACAATATACCCGAACTTTCTTTAGAAAGTGCGTGTATAATAAATTGCTAGATTCTCATCTGAATTTTTTTTTAAATCGAGGCGGGCTGGGGGCTTTTATTTTATATTTTTTATTTTTTCAATTTTGTAGATTTTTTATTGACCTGCTCAATCGGTGTAATTTTATCTACAATACCCGAATAAAAGTCATAGTAAAGGTTCAATTATCTCTTAATCCACATCATCACCAATCTTTTTCAACCAATGACCCTTGTTTAAAATATATACGCATGTATTACGGCAATTACCATCTTTTCAGCTGTCAAAATCATGTCAAGGGATTTAAAACGAAAGTAGAATGGTAGATGAATACCGATCCCGATCAGAATTAAGACGAAGAAAACAGAAATAAAAAAAATCGAGGCGGGGGTATAAAATCGGGGCGGGCAGGGATGAGAATCTAGGAATATTTTTATTATGGCCTTAGCTTGATTTATGCACATACTATATCTTACTAGTTAAAGAGACTGCTCACAACAAGAGTCATTTCAATTTATTAAATGTGAATTCTTCACCTTCTGATTGCATTGAAAATTGGACAAAACTTGCGCAAAGTTCCTTAACAACTGGTCACAGCACACCTCCATACATGTATGTACATAAATAGATAGTTTATACATTGATTGAAATCACCAAACTTTAGTCACATCATTATATTCTCCATCAGGGAAATTGTAATCTTCAATTGGTGGTGTTAACGAAGGTCCACTTTTGGAGTAAGATAAAAGACTAGGATCTTCCTACCAAAAGAAGGAAAAAGATAATTTTGAATCTCACTTAAAAAAAATAAAATAATAAATTTAATCGAAAATTGCTCCTATTTTGATAACTTGCTGCATCAGCAAATGGAAATAGCTTCAAAATATGTAATAATTCAAAAGAAACTTTCACTAGATGTTGTTTCATGTCTCATCCTTCTTTGATATAACCATCTGTCAGTCATGATAAAGAAATACTTTGAATCTACTTTATGTTTTGATAAATAACCTAATTGTTTGAATTCGTTCTATTCAAGATTATATGAATTAGCCACTATCTCACAATCTCATTGACCAGTGAACTTGACCTTTTAAATTTGACCTTGAATCAAGGTCTACAAGGTCTAAAAAATAATATTTTGTTTTTTGTGGATCATGTGCAATAACATTAAAAAGTTAAAGCCCATTCCCCAGCATCTTTGCAAGCCAAGGGTTTTCGATCCGCTTCACTCCCCACAAACGGGAGTGAAGTGGACCGAAAACCCTTGGCTTGCGAAGATGATTCCCCGGTCAAAGTTTTCGGGAGGGATATTGTCCAAACAATAATTTTAAATATGTGTGTTATGGACAAGTGACACTGATCTATCAGAAATGATCGTGTAACATTTGTAGGTCAAAGGCAACAACAAGTTACAATTCGAAAGTTAATGAAATGCCTCAATTTCATTATGAGGTACATAAAATTGTTATAACAAGAAACACTAGTTTGAACAGCATGTAGTTTTTCAGTTCAAACAATTGTACACAACTTGTTAAATCTTCCCCCGGGGGTCATGATGTGAACCCTATACCAGGATGCTTCCACATAAGTTTCAGCTTTTCTGGCCCAGTGGTTCTTGAGAAGAAGATTTTCAAAGATTTTTCCTTGTAATTGTGATCAAATAAGTGATAAAGGAATTAATTAAAAATATTTCTCCACTTGCACAATCTTACTTTTATACTTTATAATAATACCAGTTGATTTGTTTAAACATCTCTACCTATCAAACACATGTACCTACATATACACCTAGAGTTTACCTGAATAGCTTGCACATAGAGTTCTTCTGACTCCTTTCTAAGTTCTGCTAGGGTTTCAGCTGAGAACTTTGTGGCTCGATTTATGCTCCAACACAGAGCTTTGTATTGTTTGGTTGTATAATTACACCAGTCTTTCTCTAGTTGAATTCTTCTTAATACTTCTTCTTTGGGTAACTCTGGAATTGTCCTGGCTCTGTCACTGTAAGTTATAATTCAACACTTACATCATTATAATCATTGCATAATACTGTAAGTTGTTTTGATTCCATGGTGTTAAAATTTCACAATTTGTCAAAAAGTACCAATCCCAATGGTTTCAATTTCATGCTGCAAGAAATTGATTTCAACTTCAAATAAGCATTTCAACATTTTAAAAAACTAATGATAAGAATTCATGATGGATCTGATTTCGTGGAAAAGTGATGAATCATGATCATAGTGAAATTAAAACCATTGTGATTACTCACGAGTATTTACTGAGTATTCCAAGGAATGCATGTGTCACTTGTTTTGTAGCTTCATCAAAGATAATTGATATTTATTTCTTATAATATTTACCTGACTTGGCGTTTCAACTTTCTCTCGGAATCATATTCATCTATAGGTTTCAGTGTCCCTTCATGCCTTTCGAGTTTCCGGAGTTCGTTTTCAATTTTTTTCCTCTTCTTTTGTTCATTTTCTATTAGGATTCTTGGATCAATTTTGACTTTACGTTTTGTTGGCATGGAACTGTAAAGAAATACACATATCCCTTCAGGGTCCAGACACAGCTAGAGCACAAAGTTCCAGTTGAATGAGTCAGAATACCATGGAAATAATCAATTCCAACAAGAGGCCCATGGGCCTTATAGGTCACCTGAGTATCATGTAACAACTTTCCAACAATTGAATTGGTTCGTGTTTTCAATCAAAGGCCATGAAATTCAAAATTTTGAAAGATGCTCTATTGTTTATCATAACTACATGTATACACCTAGCTTGCTTACTTTGGTTACTTAATACCCAAAGGTGAATAAGAGTAACAAAGAGAAAATGCATTTCTACCTTATAACCAGTTGTGCACCCCACCCCACAGGAACAACAGACCATGGGGGCACACATTTCAAAATTCTGGAAATTTTATCATAAATTTTATATCATCATAAATGGTTGATTAATACTAAAAAGCAGATATCAAAGCATTAATTTATTTTCAGACTATGTAACCCCCACCCCAAGTACCCTGTCCCAGGGGCCCTGAAATTAACCATTTTGGAAGAGGCACCTTTCATCATCATTAATATGTACTTAGAACATTGGCATAATACCCAAGAGCAAAGGAAAAGGTTTTTGAAGTATTGATGAATTTTCACTGTATAATCATTAGAGCCCTGCCATAACACCAAAACTCCTGACCCTGGGGCCCTGAAATTCCTGAATTTAGAAGAGGCATCCTTCTTCATCATAACTATGTACATAGTTCATTGGTTTAAACTCAGGAGCAGAGAAGAACTTTTTTTAAAGAATTAATGTATTTTCACTATATAATCAATAGAGCCCCACCCTAACACCAGAGCCCCTGACCCAAAGGCCATGAAATTCACAATTTTGGAAGAGGCACTCTTATTCAACATAACTAAATGTACTTGTTTAGTTTATTTAAAACTCAGGAGCAGAGAAGAAGATGTTTAAAGAATTAATGTATTTTTACTATATGATCAAAAGACCCCCACCCTAACACCAGAACCCCCAATCCAGGGGCCATGAAATTCACAATTCTGGAAGATATGTTCTTGCTCATCATAACTATGTACTTGGTTAGTTTGTTTAATACCCAGGAGTGGAGAAGAAGATTTTCAAAGAATTTATGCATTTTCACTATATAATTAATAGAGCCCCGCCCTAACACGAGAATCCCTAACCCCAGGGCCATGAAATTCACAATTTTGGAAGAGGCAGCTTTATTCAACATAACTATATATTCAGTTTGTTTATTAAATACCCAGGAGCAGAGAAGAAGATTTTTAAAGAATTCATATATTTTCACTATATAATCAATAGAGCCCCACCCTAACACCAGAACCCCTGACCCTGGGGCCATGAAATTCACAATTTTGGTAGAGGCACTCTTGCTCATCATAACTATGTACTTAGTTGGTTTATTTAATACCTTGGAGCAAAGAAGAAGATTTTAGAAATAATGCATTTTCACTATATACTTATTTAGCCCCGCCCTAGCACTAGAACCCCTGATCCCAGGGCCATGAATTTCACAATTTTGGTAGAGGACTCAATGCTGATTACAATCATGCAAACAATTTGACTGCTTAATTTCCAAGAGTAAAGAAGAAGATTTTTAAAGATTACATTAATTTTAGTGGTTTTGGCCCCACCCCTCAGGCCCCAGGGGGGCAGGGACCATGAAATTCACAACTTTTGTTTCCCTTCATCCATAGATGCTTTATACCAAATTTGGTTGAAATTAGTTCAGTGGTTCCAGAGAAGAAGCTAAAAATGTTCAAAAGTTTACCACCGACGTACGACGATGGACGAAAAGAGATAGCAAAAGGTCACCTGAGTTTTCTCAGGTGACCTAAAAATAGAACTGCATTCATCAAGAAGGTGCATTAAATGTCATGAATAATGAATTATTGGCATCAAGATTAATCTGACACTCCTTTATATATATAATTACATTAATAATATTATAGTTTTACATAGTAACTCTTCATTTTAAAAGAAATCTACATATTGATGTATATAGGTTTAAGGTTTTTACTTGAGAATGCTAGAGTCGTGAAAATATTTTGGATTGCAGGTATGAAAACTTCTACATACAGGTGTACTCTCTTGGAACAGTCTATAAATAAAAAGAAAAATCCCATGATTTACAAGATTACTCATTTGCCATGACTGAAAGGTAGTATGTTAAAGTAAACAGGTTTGGAGCAATGGCCCAAATGGGATTTACATTCATGTATTTATTCGATATCCAAAATGTGAAATTTACAGTGCATAAAATTAAAAATTATTAAAAAATTTTCCATGTCCTTAAAGGTTGTAAGATTGATCTCTATGAAGTCAAAGATCTTCTGTGGGTTCAATATCCTTAAAGAATACAGAAACTCTTCTAATACCATTTAAGTTTTACTGTTTAGCAGTCTAAAATTTATCTTTTTATGACAATACGCCCATTTTCAAAATTTCAATCTAGTTTTCATTAGTTATACTGTCATGGCTATTTCATCCCATCTAGTTTTAGAAGTCCAAACCTAGTAAAGACAAACTGAGACAATTCGAATTACACATTTGAAAATCATATTTCTTCAGCACACTACGAAAATTAAGAGTATTTTTCAAGGTGAGCAATCCTGAAAGGTTTTTCATTACCTTGTACATATTTTAAAAGAAGACAATGCCATTCTTGAGGATTAAAATATACAAAAAATTGAAGCCCAGGTCGAGCAGCTTATACAACAGAGGAGATTCGAATTAAGAATAGTGTAGATTTTTTGACGACCAAAACGAAAAAAAGAAATCTTAAACATTCTCGTATTTTCTCAATCTTTAAATCAATCGATAAAATTTGTAAGAATTTTAAACTTCAAATGTTTTTTCTAAAACTTTTGGATTAGTTTAACCTCAAATCAAAATTGTATCGTTTTGTGAAAATATTTCAATAGAATTTGGCGCCAATATTTTGTTTATTTGGTAGTTGGAAGAAATGGTACTACAAAATAGTGGAAGATATAAAGCAGACAATGATCCTGATAACACAGGGTATGTTATATTTAATTGATTGATCAAACAAGGATCCAATGATCGTTTCTATTTAGGGACTAACGTAAAATAAGTCCTGAAAAAGTGTTATTAACCAAATCAATTTAGCCTGTCGGAACAAAATCCCAATTGCAAATTAATTGTTCAAGCTGTATAACTTATTCAAGAAATTGTGTCAGACCTGGTACACGTCCAAGCATTAACATACTCTCTCTGTGTGAAGGTATTTTAACTACAAACTTGTGCAGCCTGTCGTGTCACACATGATCACATCTGACTATATTCTGAATTCTCCCTGTTTAAAACGTTTTGTTAATACACAGGCGTGAAGATGGAACAGATAAGAGACTGCAGAGAGCACTGGCTGGGGATGCCGTGGATAGCAAGTTTGGGTTCGAGAGATACAAAGAAGCCAAAGACAGAACGGGATGGCTTATCAATATGCACCCTGTATGTATAATATTGAAATGGGATTAATAAAGATTTTATAGAATTTCTTTGTATAGACTATGGAATCCAGATAGTGCTGCTTATAGTTCACTATCATGCTATCGAGCATTGACTTCAGGGTTAATGGTAAGAAAATGATTATGCAATCATGATGACTACAAAGTGATGGCACCATGACAGTGAAGCAGTAGTGCGGTCACAATGGCATTATGGCTTTACAGTGCAATGGCAATGGTGCAATAGTAGAATGGAGCAAGAGTGAACATTGCTTCATTGTCTCACACCATTTTATCATGGATATCACATCATTGCAATAGCTTTATCGTTTTATTGCATTATTTACATCACTTTGTTGTGTCTTCATCACCAACACTTCATAGTCATTGCACTATTGACCCAAACATTGATGGTGCCGATGATGAGATAGTATACACTTATCCACTGGTTGTGAGTGGGGTAGCTCTTTTATCAAACCCGCGACAGGGAATAGTCCCTGTCAAGGGTTTGATAAAAGACCTATCCCACTCACAAACAGTGGATAAGCATTTTATTATACTGATGTATAATATAATTTCTGAGGTTTGAATTTTTTGGAGTAAGATAATACCGCAAGAATAATCTGAAATCCTGATGACGTCACAATGCGACTGAAGTCATAATGACATCATCAGTCAATAACAGGGATTTATCAAGGCTGTTTTTACTACCGGTAAACGGTACCTTTCCCCTCTTGAAAAAGGTGAAAAATTCCCCTTTTTCAGATAGAAAATTCTGCTATTAAACATGAACTATTTAAAACATCGTAGCTAAATTTTCCGTTTTTGTCTTTATTTAACAGCATATCCTACTCCCCATCCTATTCATTCAAACGCTTTTAATAAGAGAGAGTAGATTATTCAAGCTTCCATTTGATACTTTTGATGAAACATTTGCCCTATCCACGATGTCGAAATATACGTATGCGATTGCAGTGTTAAGAAAAGTGTAGATGAGTTGATTATTAAATCACTATGAATCAGAAGAATGGAGTAACAACAAAAACAATGTTAAGGTATTTTAAACTTAACCGAATTGATTTGCGATGATATTATAGAAAAAAATGATGTGTGACCTGGTTTATTTTTTTTTGTTATTTAATATTTTGTCTCAAAAATGAAGTTTTTGTGGCCTTTGTAAAGGTCTACAAATGACCCTCAGAAGCTATAAGAATGCAGAATTTTATCAATTTTAAAGTTATAAATTATTCTTATTTGCCTATTCATGCCCTCCGGAAATGACCTGCGGCTCTCATTTTCCCCCTTTACATATAAAACGGTAGTAAAACAAAATAGCTGGATAAATCCCTGGATTTATCGCTGGTTCAAATCAAAATTGGAGGCAAAAATTGCATGAAAATTTTCCGAGGGTGGATAGGAAAAACTATACCTCGGGGTATATTTTATTTGCTACTGCATGAACTATAAAGGTACTATTTTACCTTTGAATTTATATAAGTAACATTTTAACAATATAATAATACCACGGTTTTCACCAATTCAATTGTAGACTGTTACTTTTGATGAAACATTTGTATCTAGGCAGACATATTGGATGAAAATAAGCAGCTGATCAGTGCAGTTGATTATTATTTTTTGGAGGAAGATGGGTCTCGTTTCAAGGTAACATTTTAAACTTAACCAATTCACGTTGATCTTATATAATTGATGTGTGACAAGTGATTATCATAGTATAGCATGTTGTTTACTCTCCCTGACCATTCTAGGCCACACTACCATTCAAACCCTATTTCTTTGTGGCAACAAAGCCCGGATGTGAAAGGGAGGTGGCATCATTTCTGTCCAAGAAGTTCTCAGGAAAACTGGCCACTGTAGAGACAGTTCACAAGGAAGATTTAGATCTGGTAACAAAAAATTCTACTGTTTCATTTGTGTATAATTTTTTCCCTTTATTTATTTGAGTGAAAGTTGTGGTTACCTTTCTTATCTAAAATAAATTATGTTTCATATTCAAGCCAAATCACTTGGTCGGATTGAAAAGGCAATACCTCAAGCTGTCATTTTCGTCAGTGGAAGACCTAACGAAAGTGAGGAGAGAGATTCACCCAGCAGTTCGTAAAAACAAGGAACGGGAACAATCAAGTGAAGCGTACACTGCACTCCTCAGCAAGTATGTACAGAAGTCAGTGCTACTAATGCCCTGTTCACACGGAGAGTTTAATTTGCAGTAAATTAATGCGAAGTAAACTAATGCGAATCAAACAAATGCGAATTAAATTGCGTTCACACGACAGCTAATGCGAAGTAAACTAATGTGAATTAAAATTTTACTTCTGCAGTCTGGCGTCAGCACGGCTATTATGATGTCATTTGCAAATTTCGTCACCTTCTGCAGAGCAGATCCATTTGACATAACATCACAGTGTCTGTACACACATTTTAATGATTAACAAGATTTTCCTTAGTATTTCACTCAAAAATAGTGCAAGTACCTATAGCTGACCATCAACAAGTGGTATTTGACTAAATTTTGCCATTACGCATGCGTCCGAATTTAATTCGAATTAGCTTTGCTTAGTTACACGGAGCTAATGCGAAGTAATTTGATGCGCAGTAAACTAAATCGAATTAAACTAATTTGCCTTTAATTCTCCATGTGAACACAAAGCGAAGCTAATTCACAGTAATTTTACGTTTAATTTGAATTAAACTCTCCGTGTGAACAGGGCATTATTATTGTACAATGATGTTTCACTTTCACTACCAGTGACAGTGAAAAAGGTGGAAGGGGAGAAATTGGTGTTTTATCTCCCCATCCAGCACAGGTATTGAATTGAGTTGTGGTACACTGTTGTCCCAGAACATTTGCAGAGCAGTTTTGATTTTCAAGAGATTTCAATCCTTTCCTTAGACTTACGGCTCATCTGAGTTAACTGCTAGAGTAACCATTTCTGATCAAAGTTAATCTGATGCTTGTCTGTTGAGCACAAGGCCATTTACAACCTAACCGTGTATAACATGGATTCATACTTCTTTAGTATTAACAAATATTAGTGCTTTTCAGTTCAAGTATTGTTGCTAATTGCTTGGGACCTTTTAGGGAAATGTGTCTGCAGTATTCTCAGTATGCTTTTTCTACAAATATGTTTTACTTTCATTTGTAGCCATTTACTTGGAACAGATATTGATAATTCTGAAAACAAAGCTTCCAATCAGATGGAAAATATAATAGACATCAGGTAAATGCTTAAAAGATTGCAATTGAAGTATTTTATGAATGGTGATGTAAAATCATAATGAGATATCGTTATATAATTTTTTCCCTGCAGAAATGTATCATACAGAAAATCATTCAAATGAACATTGTAAAATATGAAGTTTAATTTGTTGCATCTTTTATTTTATAAACAGGGAATATGATGTTCCTTACCATGTCCGGGTCTCCATTGACCTTAAAATCTTTGTTGGACACTGGTACACGGTAAGGGGGCGGGGCTCACTTCCTGTAGAGATTCGGCACAGGGAGGACCTTGTGGATAGACCTGTAAGTTGTTCACAGTAATAGATATATGTACATGAATATTAATTTTCTTTTCATGTGCCCTGTAAGGATGTAGAATTGCCTGTAAAGAATTCCGTTTAAAGACGAAAGACTCTCTGTTAAGAGAGATAACTCTAAGATTGATAAATCACTGGTTTCCTTTTTAGCTCACCTCAACGAAGTTGGGGGAGCTTATGTAATACCCTCGGCGTCGGCGTCCCAGGTTAAGGTTAAGTTTTTTGGAGCAGTTTTCTTTTTAACTACTTCTATGTCCTATATGGATTAGACATGCATGGAAGATGGAAGATGGTGTTTCATTTTACCAGTCAAAGTTTCAGATGCTGCAATTTCAGCAAAGGAATGACCAGGTTAATGTTTTTGGAGCAGGTTAACATTTTTGGTGCAGTTTTTGGTGAAGTTTCATTTCCAAGTAACTATAAGACCTATGTTGACCAAACTTCCATGGATGATACATCTAAGGATGCATACTACCAGGCTTGCTTCAGATGCTGAATCTGACCTACATTTACCAGTTGAGTGAACAGGTTAAAGTTTTTGGTGCAGATTTCATTTCCAAGTAACTATAAGCCCTATGTTGACCAAACATGCATGGATGATACATCTAAGGATGCATACTACCAGGCTTGCTTCAGATGCTGAGTCTGACAGGGGGTTCAAAATTCCTCAAGCCCGACGTCCCGGACTAACAAATTCCGGATCCGGACTCGGCATTTATTGGCTATGTTTCTTGTTTATCTTTTTTTTTAAGTTAAAAAATGATCATGAACCTAAAAAAAAAAACAAATTCTCAAATGTATTAAGTAAAAATGTGGGTTTGTGGTCGTTAAAATACCGATAAAACATTACGAACGTTTCGAAAATACAATCTGTCTTTTTATTTTCCGTTGCGGTTAGACTCTTGTTTTTACGCAATTCCTTATGTTTCCTCCTATATGACAAACGGGAATTAGTTAATTAAATTCGGTTTTAGCTTTGACTTACAGCACACTCTAACTTCTATTTATTGTAACAGATGGTTTATTCAGTAGTGAGTATTTGTAAAAGTTATTGCAATGTACCAGTAATCTATCAGTCTGGTATTGTGTTGAAATACTCATGTATGACTATATGACAGTTTATTGAGGAAAAATAAAACATATATTATAATATTTATACATTATAGTCTTTATTCATTCAATGCAACAAATGAAAATAAATTATAAGTAACATAAATTTAATGATGTATAGGTAAATATGGACTCTGAAATTTCTTCCTCGGACTTGCCTAAAATTTACTGTTTAAGTCCTGGACTTGATTATGACAAAAAAAAATTTGAACCCCTGGTCTGACCTACAATTTCCGGTTGAGTGAACAGGTTAAAGTTTTTGGTGCAGGTTTCATTTCCAAGTAACTATAAGCCTTATGTTGACCAAACTTGCATGGATGATACATCTAAGGATGCATACTATCGGGCTTGCTTCGAATGCTGAATCTGACCTACATTTTCTGGTTGAGTGAACAGGTTAAAGTTTTTGGTGCAGGTTTCATTTCTAAGTAACTATAAGCCCTATGTTGACCAAACTTGCATGGATGATACATCTAAGGATGCACACTGCCAGGCTTGCTTCGGATGCTGAATCTGACCTACATTTTCTGGTTGAGTGAACAGGTAAAAGTTTTTGGTGCGTGATTCATTTCCAAGTAACTATAAGCCTTATGTTGACCAAACTTGCATGGATGATACATCTAAGGATGCACACTATCGGGCTTGCTTCGAATGCTGAATCTGACCTACATTTTCTGGTTGAGTGAACAGGTTAAAGTTTTTGGTGCAGGTTTCATTTCTAAGTAACTATAAGCCCTATCATGTTGACCAAACCCGCATGAATGATTCATCTAAAGTTGCATATTACCACGCTTGCTTCAGATGCTGGATCTGAACTACATTTTCCGGTTGAGTGAATAGGTTAAAGTTTTTGGTGCATGATTCATTTCCAAGTAACTATGAGTTCTTTAATGAACAAACTTTCATGGATGATATATATAAGGAGGAATACTACCAGGCTTGCTTCGGATGCTGAATCTGACCTACTTTTTGTGGATGAATGAAAATGTTGGTTTTTGATGCATGTTTCATTTCCAATTAACTATGAGCCCTATAATGAGCAAACTTGCATGGACAATACATCTTAGGATGCTTACTAATGGACTTGCTCCGGATGCTGAATTCGACATACATTTTTCAGATAATAGACCAGGTAAAAGTTATGGATGCAGGTCTATTACCAAAAAACTAGATGGCTTACATAACATTGTATAAACCAAACTTGCACAAATGTTGCATCAAGAGATGAAAACTCTCAAATTTGCTTCAGATGCTGGTTTTTAATTACATTTTCATGAAGAAGAACTAGTTTAAATTTTTTATTTAGGTCTATTTCAAAGTATCAGATCAAAATTGCTTAAATATTTTCATTTTTGGAATGTACACTTTTTGTTGGTTAATTGTGTGACTTTGCCTTACTTAAAGACAACATTCATTGAGGTGAGCTCTGTAATCTCTGATTACCTATGTTTAAATTTCCATCTCTAACAATTATGTCTAAAATTTTACATAGACTGCATGATGTACCTATTTTGCTCAAATTCACTTGTTACAAAATTGTCTTCACTTTACAAAGAATTTAGAAGCAGTGGCATTTCAGTAAGCAGAGAGTCATTCCCCTGTAAAATTTTGTTGTGAAATTTGTATTTTTCAGGATCCTGTTGTTTTAGCCTTTGATATCGAAACAACAAAATTACCTCTGAAATTTCCGGATTCCCAGACTGATCAGATTATTATGATATCATATATGATAGATGGGCAGGTAGGTGTGTTTTCACAGCTCTCTTCTAGGTCAGTACTCCTGGAGTTTGACCCATATTTCCTGAGTTGTTATTTACATTGCAAGGATGTTTATAATTTAATTGACATATCTGTTTGCCGGTGTGGTTTCCTGTTTATTATCTAAGATTAGTTCTAAACAGGATAATGCAATCTTTTAATTTCTGTTTGATCTTGGTTTCAAAGGACAGTACATCGTTCGGGTAGCTCAGTCAGTTGGTAGAGTGCTCGCCTCTGATCTGAAGGTCGTGAATTAAAATCTTGGCCATGACTGACCTAAATCGATAAAAAAATGGGTAGCAACTCTTCCTTTGCCATGCACTTGGCACATTGGAGTGAAAGTTATGGGTCTTTTGCATGAGACCTTAAAAACGAGGTCCCGTGTCATGGCAGGCATTGTCACAATAAAGAATTCCTGCTCAATGGCCCTGAGTGTCGAGTAAAGGTCAAAATATCAAACCCATCGCCGGTATATGGTGACGTCTCTATATGAGTGAAAAATTCTCGAATGGGACGTAAAACAATATGCAATCAATCAATCAAAGGACAGTAAAAATGTACTGTCTTTGTTTGGGGAATAATATTACTTGTATAAAAATGGTGAAAGATAATCAATGTGTGGGTTTTTTTACATACAGACAGTGGTGTAAAATGAAACTAACAAATGTTAGGTCATATGATTTCCTGAATGAAAAAAAATTCTGAGTTGTTATGATATGAAATTTTACATGTCATTTTTCTCTTCATACCACAAAAACAATAAAAATTAAACCCTCGTGACAAATAATGATTCCAGTATACTCTTGGCTCAAATACATCTTGTACTTTTTTGTAGGGTTTCTTAATTTGTAACAGAGAAATAGTGTCCCAAGATGTCGAGGACTTTGAATACACACCTCGTCCCGAGTTTGAGGGTCCATTCACTGTGTTCAATGAAACTGACGAGGTCAGTCCCACCTGTACATATATAATCACTCTAGTTGAAATTTACATATATAAAAAGAGAGTAAATGTATACGGAAATTTGTATTGTTAAGTAACATTTTTGGTACTTTGTAGGAAGCTTTACTTAGGAGGTTTTTTGACCACATATTGGAAGTGAAACCACAAATTTTTGTCACATACAATGGAGACAGCTTTGATTGGTATGGTATTTATTGGTCAAGTAAATTAATTATGTTAACAAAATGCTATCTCCGGGGTAGGCATTTAAATAAAATAGGATACTCATCTTGAGGTTTGGCATTTTAGACATAGAGAGCTTTGATTGGTAATTTTTATTTTTAGTCAGATTATTTTTTGTAAGGATGTGATCCCCAATGGTGGGAATTAAAACAAAAAATAGACAATATTGTACAATAACAAACTCATCTTGAGGTTTGGCATTTCAGGCCATTTGTTGAGACGAGGGCTGCCCTTCATGATATAGACATGTCGCAGGAGATAGGATTCCAAAAGGACAACCAAGGCGAATATAAATCAAGACCAGCAGTCCATATGGATTGTTTTAGGTATTTTACTTCCAAACATATGAGTTGTTCAACAGTTTGGCATAATTAACACATAATTTACAATCTACCTAGGCATTAATACACGCACATGTCATTTACATAAGTACCTGTAGGTGGATGAATAATTAGATGTCTGCCTTGATAACCAGCTGTTTAATTGCTTTGTGTACTATTGTTTATTTACTGTCTGAGAAGTTTTTCTTCAAAAAACTGTAGAAATTAATTTAAAAAAAAAACAACAATAATTAAGGTAGAAAATGGTAGTGGCAAACTCGCTCATTACAAATTTACATTTACAGACAGGGAAAGGATTCTTATTTCCTTATTTTTAAAAAATTGTTAACTGAACAGATGTAAGGCTACATAGAATTGAAATTCTGGTTCTCAGGCCCGCACGCATCAGTTTTGAAGTAGCAGCATTGCTAATTTTATTGTATTTTTGATAAAATAGAAAGTTGGTATTGCGGAGACCAATCCAGAAAAAAAAGTTCCGTCCTCATTTTTTCGTAGTTTAGTACTCAAATATCACCTCCGGTAGCCATTTGCAAAGAGATTTTGGCTATTTCGTTTGAAAATACATTCGAAGACATTGCCTACGATGTTCACACGCTGATAAGCAATGGATAAAGCAAACCTTTTGATCAGACATGGAAAGTATATCTGTGAATAAAAAAAATATCTTTATTGTAAAGAAAATTCGAAAATTAAAATTAAAAAAATACCTTCCTCATCTACTTTTTTGCCAATAAAATGATAAATAAAATGCCTCCCTCTCGCATCGGTTTTTGAGAAAATTGGCCTGAGAACCAGGAATTAAATTTAGATAGCCTAACAAATTATTATTTTCAAATATTGTTGGTTCCTGGCATGTTTTAGGGTGTGTGATTTTTTTCAGATGGGTGAAGAGAGACAGTTACCTCCCTGTTGGCAGTCAGAATCTGAAAGCTGTAGCTAAAGTGAGAATTTACAAGTGACATCCTCTTGGAATATGTATATTAATAATTATGTATGCAAAAAAATGTGAAACGTTTAAGTTTGTTTATGGGGGTGGGTGGGGTGGGGGAACAGCTCATTCAGATCTCAAATATTTCTTTCAAAACACGCTGTAGACCAGAGGTCCCTGATCTTTGGTGGATCATGAAATACTGGTATGATGGCTGCTGTGATGTTGTGTTTGGATGCACGAAATATTGAAGGCTTTTATGTAAAAAAAAAAAAATGTGTATGCACCGTGCCAGCATGTCATATTATCATGGAGCACATTGCTAGTGATACAAAACAGGGGTTGAGGATAGGGTAGGGATCAAATTATGTTAAAAGCAGTTATGATCATATGTACATGTTGTTAAGATGGCACTTTCTACCAAAATTGAAATTTTTGGCCGGAGAAACTAAAAAAATGATTTTTCACTGCATATATTTGTGAGCTGTTCTGTAGAAAGTTATTTGATGACATTGATTCACAGCCCTGTTTTTGGAGAAGATTTATATAGGCCATGCCTATTGTCCACTCCAATTATGTAAATTGACTTTACATAATAAAATACTGATTAAGATAAAAAAAAAAAAATAATAAAGCACTGTCTTTTCTACTTCTTTCAGGCAAAGTTGAGGTATAATCCAGTGGAATTAGACCCAGAGGAGATGTGTAGAATGGCTAGCGAAGAACCACAGGTATCTTGGAAATAAACCACCTTAAGATTGAATTTTACCAATATCATTGTAAAAGTGAATGCAAATATTTTTTTTTTAATTTAAAGGGATGCATTCCCTATTATCATTAAGACAATTTAACATTTATCCTTCATTTAAATTAGTTAAATGAATGTTATATCTCATATTTGTTTGCTCTAATACCCATGTAGCTTATGAATTAAGGTGTGAAATAAATATGAAAATTCTTTTCCAGCTTAATCTTATTATTGAGATTTTTTTTATACAGGTTTTAGCCAACTACTCTGTGTCTGATGCTGTAGCCACTTACTACTTGTACATGAAATATGTACATCCTTTCATTTTTGCTTTATGCACTATCATTCCAATGGAACCAGATGAAGTAAACCAAATTTCAATTCTCAATTAACAATAACACGTAACTGTAAATATTTTCTTAAAATAATCATTTCAGAAACTTGGCTTAAAAATGGAATACATGTAATACTAGACCCAAAAATGAAGATTTTTGTTTTTGCACATTAAAGGTTTTAAGAAAAGGATCAGGAACACTTTGCGAGGCCCTTTTAATGGTACAAGCCTACCACGCCAACATCGTGTTCCCCAATAAACAGGAGGCGGTGTGGAATAAGATGACAGATGACGGACACGTTCTGGACTCCGAGACCTATGTCGGGGGTCATGTGGAGGCCCTGGAATCTGGAGTCTTCAGGGCAGATATTCCTTGCAGATTTAGAATGGTCAGTTGAATTTTGGTGAAAGGAATTTTAAAATTTTCACTAACATAAACATGTACAACATAAATATAAACGAAACTTTTTCGTCACTTTAAATTTTTAGTAAGGCTGTAAGAAGAAAGGCAACTCTTGCAAATGTAGATGAAAATCCAGGAATCTGTATATAATTGATATTGCAGATACCTTTGTTGTACAGGGTAGTAAAAATCAATCACTCACAGTTTGTCCTCTGTTAGTTCTAGACTTTGATACTTTGAAAATATTTTTGCTGTGATCTTTTCCATTTGCCTGACTTGCCTCATTTAAACTTGCTAGTATTAAAAGTCTGACAATGTGTTCACCAAAAAGCAATTAACATTATATTGATCAACCAAACCTTGTTAACTTGATGGGGTGGGGAAAAAACTTAAATATTGAATAAAAAGTGTTTGGAACTTCCAGATCGCGTAGACATGTCCATGGTATTTGAGACAACAGAGGTAAAGATGAAAAAGTTTTGCCATTTTATAAAATCTGCAATTCACTCACAGGTACCTGAAGCATTCCAAAATTTGATTGACAAAGTGGAAAAGACCATGAGGCATGCCATCGAAGAGGAGGAGAAGATTCCATTTGATGAGGTGACAAACTTTGATGAAGTGTGTGCTGATATTGTAGAGAGTTTGTCAATGCTGAGGGACTGCCCCAACAGACTGGAAAACCCCATCATATACCATCTGGATGTTGGTGCCATGTATCCAAACATCATTCTCACCAATAGATTACAGGTAAGGGATCTGTTATGTGCTTCCTGGTCATCTTTGACAAAGTTTTACAATGTATGTGATCATGATGAATTTTGAGGTAGATGCTTTTCTATATGTACAAGGCTCATCTGTTAATTTTTCGTACGTTTAGTATTTAAGGTCAAATGAAACGTAGTTTGAACTTTACTGGGTTCTTCCCTCGAGTTGAAGAGTTCCACTAAATGAACCTCTTCTAACACAATTTTTGATGAAAAAAAAAATCTGGAATTTATGTTTTGTAATTTTTGTATATTTTTCTTTGATAAATGAAAAAATGTTCGAAATTTGATATCTTTTCAAAAACCCTGGTAACACATGCTGATTTTTTGTCTAAGAACATGTAATGGTATTATGAGTTTAAATTAAGAATATCTTGAAAAATTATCAGTAGGTAAGGTACCTTGCGTATGTCCTTAATGAATATAAAAAATGTACACATCCTCACCTCATATTTCCTCACAGATTGTACTTACGTATTTAATTTCATGGACAACTTGCATGTGTTTTTAAACTTTTTTAGCCCCCTGCCATTGTGGATGAGAGCACCTGTGCCGCTTGTGATTTTAACAAACCAGGTGCTACTTGTCAGAGAAGAATGCCCTGGATGTGGAGAGGAGAGTACAGTAAGTCTATATTTACAGTTACATGTAATTGTAATCTACATCTAGTTACATGTACTTGTGGATTATTTTGAACAAGTGCAAGTATATTCATTTTATTAAAAAATAATAGCAACCCAAGATTTTGCTGAATTGGGTAACATTTACCAATAAAATTTTTAACCTTGTTATATAGTGCCAGCATCTCGTAACGAGTTCCATAGAATTCAGCAGCAGTTAGAGAATGAGAAGTTCCCCCCAGCCATGCCAGGAGGCCCCCCAAGGGCATATCATCAGCTGACCAAAGAAGAACAGGCAATGGCTGAGAAGAAGAGGCTCACAGGTATGGGGATGGGTTGTCAAGATCCTGTACTTGACAGGAGAGTATCAAAATACTGTGTTAAAAAAAGCATGTCATCCTTGCTGAAATTAATGCGTGTGTGTCTGTTGCCTTGATAATTTTTGGATATCAACATAACTGTGTATAAAAATCATGCCATCTTGTCTTAAATTAATGCATGTGTTGCCTTGATGATTTCTCTGTGTACCTTTACAGTGAAAAAAAAAAACGAAAATGCATAATTTTGAGACACTGCACATATTTGTTTCTATGACCTTTGTTGTAGATTACTGTAGAAAAGCTTATAAGAAGGTTCATTCCACTCGGTTGGAGCAGCGAATTGCCACGATCTGTCAGCGAGAAAACTCCTTTTATGTAGACACTGTCCGTGCCTTCAGGGATAGAAGATACGAGTTTAAGGTATGATCCTTGAAATAGCAAAAACTGTGTGCTTCGAAAACAAAACAAAAAGATATAGAAAAATCTCTCTGATTAGGCACAGTATGTTGTATTATAACAAAATTTCTGTAAATATGGAGTGAAAATATTGAATTTTGAAAGGATGGCTGTGATTGAAGTCATTTACATGTGTTCTGATACATAGTGCAGTTTTGGCTTTATTTTATTGGCAGGGTCTGAATAAAGCTTGGGGTAAGAAGTTGGCAGAGGCCAAGAAGTCTGGAGATGCAGCAGAGATTAAGAAGGCTAATGGAATGGTAGTGCTCTATGACTCACTTCAGCTGGCCCACAAATGTATTCTGAACTCCTTCTATGGATATGTCATGAGAAAAGGGTAAGAAATAAGAATACAACTGTTGAAGGACACTGAAATAGCTTTCTTTACAGTGCACGTTATTGAATATGGTCTTTACAGTGCACGTTATTGAATATGGATAAAAAAGATTCTTAGATTCATAATCTGCTATTTTACTTCTGTATTGGGGTAAAGAAAGGTTTGTTATGCTTACTTAATTTTTGGATTTAATTGAACTTAATTCAGGAATTTGTGGCCAAGAATTTAGAACTGTCAAAATGAAATCAACCTTATTTTCATAGAATTGAAAATGTTGCATTTTATTTTGCACATTTTGTACACAATTTCCCTTGCTGAATTGTGAAGAATAGACAAGAATATTCACATTGAACAGGGCCAGATGGTACAGTATGGAAATGGCTGGAGTTGTATGTCACACAGGTGCCAACATCATCACAAAAGCCAGAGAAATTGTGGAACAGATAGGGTAAGTCACTGTCGTCTTGTATAGGTGGAAATGACTATAATTAGAAGAGTGTGACAACAAAAGAAAAAATAACATATTAACTGATACATTTTCACATTCCCAGTCGCCCGCTAGAGTTGGACACAGATGGTATTTGGTGTGTCTTGCCAGCCACTTTTCCAGAAAACTATGTCGTGAAGTCAACAAATGCTAAAAAGCCGAAAGTGACAATATCTTATCCAGGAGCTATGCTCAACATCATGGTCAAGGTACAGATTACAGAAGGGTCATTTGTATCAAATTTTGTAGTTTGAATATGGATGTTAGCTATAAAGTTGTTAGATAAAATCTATCACTCAATTTAGCAACTTCCAGTCTTCACGAAAACTCACTGGTCCGAAGACCGAGGCCAGTGAATTTTGATGTCGGGTCAGTGAAAATCAAAATTCAAGAAGTCCGATGGGCTTGTTGATTATAAAAATCATACACAGTCAAAATATATCTTAACTGACTTACTTGCATAAATTTCATTGAAATATAATATAAAAAGAACAAGCACGTGTTGCTGAATTGTATTATTGTTACCGTATTATAATATGGATGTATTACGTAACAACCGGAACTAGCTAGTAACTATTACCTAGTATGTAAAATGTGCAAATTTCCAACGAACAACTTACCGAAACACGACAAAGGACGAAAATGGCAGCATTCAAAAGTTGAAGAACGTAAACATGTATAAATTTACAGTTATGAAAATGTATTTATTTTATTTTTTAATTAAGGGGCCAGTAAAAATTTTGGTGGGCCAGTAAATTTTGAAAGTTCACTGGTCCAACTGGCCAGTTTAGTTTGAAAAGTTTTCGTGAAGACTGAACTTCTACAGCTGCATTATAATTAGGGCCCCGCAAGGATTTGCGGGTGCCCTATAGTAATCACTCTGTCCGTCCGTCTGTGTGTCTGTCTGTCTGTCCGTCTGTCACTCTTCCGTCCACAAATTTTCTGTATTTTTCTAATAACTTTTTTTATGGTTGCCCAATCAAGTTCAAATTTGGTATGATAGTTCAGTAGGCAGAAATACATATTTTGATGCTAAGTTTGGTTCTCTATGTCTTCTTGTTTGGAGCTGGGGTGGTGGGGTAGATTCCTTAACTATGCATAAGAATGAATGGGCAACTTTTTTTATGGTTGCCCAATCAAGTACAAATTTGGTATGGTAGTTCAGTAGGCAGAAACACATATTTTGATGCTAAGTTTGGTTCTCTATGTCCCCTGGTTTGGAGCTGGGGTGGTGGGGTAGATTCCTTAACTTTATGTACGAAAGCATTGGCAAAGAGAGAGAACTGCTGAAGGTGTTCCCATTGTAAACTGAATGCTGCTATGAGTCCCTTGGGATTAATTAGCTTTCCTCCTGAAGAAAATCCAGAGCTTATCTTTATCTGTCAAATTGAGATGAATTACCACCTCTGTCTGCAACTCTGAAATGTGGATTTAAATATAAATTTTTATAATTTATTTTTGTTTAATAGTTATGATTTCGTTGAATTCTAATAACAAGAAATAGAATAAAGAAGATTTTTTGATTTACTTTTTTAACTTTATGTTAATTCAAGAATATTATTAATTTTTAGGATAGTTGTATAAAAACCCCATTCTATCATTAATAATGAAAAAGTTCTTATTGTAACTTTGGAAGAAAATGATGAGAGAGGAACAATTAATCCCTTGGGATTAATTATCTAGCCTGCTGCAGAAAATTTAGTAGGCTTTTCTTTATCTGTCACTTTAAGATTAATGAAAACCTTTGTGTGCAACTGCTGTTTGTTTGAAGTTAAGGTCAAGCCTTCATGATATTGAAGGCTGGCATTTTATATAACACAAGCTTTATAATTGTTTAAATATACATTCAATGTTAAGTTGTTCTTTACTGGCTAATGTAAATACAAGGATATTATTTTCAGGTTTTTGAATATTCAGGAATTATCTTGAAATTTTAAGAATACAGTTGCTGTTGCTGCTGCTTATTCTTCGTACATTTTTATGGCGTCGGGCTTGCCCGATCGTCATCTAGCGATCAGTCAGGTTTACGCGACCGCACGTGTCAGTGGATGCATCCGCAATAGAAAATAACAACAGCTGCAAACTAATTTCTTTTAAAACGTTTACAATGAATAATAGCTTGAATATAGAATTAAATCAATTGTATCTTCAATTAATTCTACTACAAAACAACGATATTGTGTTTAATTTTTACGCACGAAAAACGCTATAGTTGTTGCGGATGAATTTCTACAGAGAGGGTGCGTCGAATGACATGAATCACATTTTGGGACCGATTACTGTATATACAAACAATCTTAAATACGGTAAAATAATTACAAAATAAACACGAATACAACAAGACTATAAAGATTGAATTATTTAATCTTAGCTTTACTTTTACGATCTTCAGTCCAATTTTATCCGAACAACCGACGATATTGACCAGTAATGCCAGTATTCTTCGATTGACTGAAAAGAAATTAGATTGATATAGAGGATGGACATTTCTGACGATGTCTGGTCAATTCGAACCCTGACTCATTCGGACCAGGACACAAGGCTATCAGGCCCTATACTTTATTTGTGTTGACTATTTTTTTTTAAATTTTATTATTATGTTACCGGAGTCACTTACTTGACCTATCTGCAGATCTTTTGAAATTGTTTTTCTTGTTCGACGCCATTGAAGCCTTTCAGGCTTTTGATTTAATCATTCCGTAAGCTGCACCCTATTAATTCTACCCCATGGCGGGGCCCTTGCTGACTGGTCAGTTTTCTAGTTTGTTCAGAAATAAACTACCTGTAGTAAACAGAACATTCTTTGCATTTTTAATGTAAGTATTGTGACCTGTAAGTTTTGGAACTATTTTTTGAAAGTGAAACATTACATGTACATGTTAATTGAATAACATGGGTAATTATTTTTTTCCTCTTTTATCTGATAGGATTTCTTTACCAATGACCAATACCAGGAGCTAGAAGACCCCAGAACTCTGAAGTACTCGGTCCGCAGTGAAAACTCCATTTTCTTTGAAGTGGATGGTCCATATCTGTCCATGATTCTCCCTGCCTCCAAGGAGGAAGGAAAGAAGCTGAAGAAAAGATATGCTGTGTTTAATTTTGATGGATCACTGGCTGAGCTGAAGGTAAATTATATGAGTTTTCTTATGTACATTTTGATACAGAGACATGTAGTGTGCAGGTATATTATATTTACCATGAATCTTGCATTTTGTGAAAAGGTAATGGAAAATTTATAAGCGTTATTTGAGCTAAGGGATTCATTCAATTATCAAGGAAGAATGACAAATGGAATTTCAGGTAATGTAGTTAATATATAATTTTGTAAATGAATCAATGCAACAGTGAAAAAAAATCGAATGTCAAAGTTCCACTTGTAAATTGTCAGGGGTTTGAGGTGAAGAGAAGAGGGGAGCTGGAGCTGATCAAGATTTTCCAGTCCTCTGTGTTTGAAGCTTTCCTGAAGGGAACTACTTTAGAGGAGTGTTACGCTGCCGTGGCCAAGGTGGCTGATTATTGGCTGGACGTTCTCTTCAGCAAGGTCTGTACAAGTAATTCTATTGTTCAATTTCACAAAAAATGTCAAATGATGTAATTATGTACAAATATATTTTGAGAAACTTAAGTCTTGGTTGATATAGGCAGCAAACATGCCAGATTCCGAGTTGTTTGAGTTGATTGCGGAGAAGCGGAACATGTCTAGGACACTGGCAGACTACGGAGAGCAGAAATCGACGTCCATCAGCACAGCCAAACGCCTGGCTGAGGTAGGACTTCTTCAACTTCATTTGTTTATCAGATACTAGTAGTACATTTGAACTTCAGTATCTCAAACACTGATACATGTATCTAGAGTACCATGGGTTTGCCAAACAAACTCCCAACCACATATTCTCTAAATATATTACTCAAGATATCTCAATTCCTTAGATATATCAACTTTTTTTCTCGGTCCTATAAAGTTTGAGATAACAGACAAATGGAATGATAAAAGTAATGATGAGTTTAAAATCTTACTGGAAAAACTGTACACTTGGCATACATGAAGTCATGTTAACTGTCACTTCTGATTTTACAGTTTCTAGGTGACCAGATGGTAAAGGATGCTGGTCTGAACTGTCACTACGTCATTTCTAAGAAGCCTGAGGGGGCACCTGTCACAGAGAGGGCTATCCCCCTGGCTATCTTCCAGGCTGAGCCCAGTGTCACCAAACATTACTTACGGAAGTGGCTCAAGAGTCCAAGCTTGTCAGATTTTGGAATCAGAGAAGTGAGATATTTACATATATATACACAATGTGCACTGGGAATTAAATCTGACATTTTGTCATTTTAAACTTCCATGTACATGTTTTCACTTAAATTTTTGGGTTTTAGATATTAGATTGGGAGTACTACATAGAGAGATTAGGAAGCTGTGTTCAGAAAATCATTACTATTCCAGCAGCTCTACAGCAGGTATGAAGAAATATGCAAAAAATCATAACAGTTTGTGCATATATAATTCTATCAGTACTGATGTGGCCAAGTATTTGTATGCATTTCTTTGCTTTACTTAAGAGTCAATTTGACTGAAAGAGAAAAGTAACTTGAGAAATTCAGAGAATGTTTGCGTACACATATAAACTGATTTATGTGTGCATTTGAAACATTTAGGTGGCTAATCCCGTACCCAGGGTTCCTCATCCACCATGGCTACATAAGAAGTTGATGGAGAGAAACGACGTATTTAAACAGAAGAAAATTAGTGAAATCTTTGCCCCAGCGCAGAGGAAGAAAACAGAGGAAGTATGTCAATAGTTCGTCAATGTTTATTTTAAAGTCTCTGAAGCACACTGAGCATCCTAGCTTGGCTGAATAAGACCATTGAAAATAATGACTGAATTAGCAGCTTATTGACACAGTGTACAAATATTTTAAATACTTTTAAATTTATGAAACAATAAGGAAATAAAGCTGTTATTCCCTCAACAAAAATTATTTAAATATGTGAGAGCTCAACACAGAGTTATTTGTTTTAAAGCTAATTTTTCCTAGTGATGGGCTAAGCTAATGCATCAATCAAGATAACTGCTTTATTTGCTAAAATCTGAATGAATGCCATATCACCAAAACAAACCATACATGTTTGGCACAGTATGTTGTTTAATATTACAGTGAACTCTTTTTGTATAAACATGGATATAGTTAATTCATAAATGTCAATAGATATAGCAAAGTGCGGAACCTTAGCTATGGATATTTACATGTATTATAAATTCCTTATATATCAAATTACAAGTTACTAGATTTAGCAATTATACAGGTCCCAGTGACTGTTTTATTTGCATTTTATTGTATATTTCTGATTTGATCTTGTAGATTTCCTCAGAGAGGGAGCTGTTTTCACAAGAGGAGGAGCCAAATCACAGTGTCTCTGACATGGAAGACATGATGAATTTTAAGAAGCCTGCCAATGGAATGGTGGTCAGTCACAAGCGGAAGCGAGATCGGTCGAGTATCGGGGACTCGGAGGCCAGTCAGGACTCCCAGGGGTCCCAGACATGGAGGGAGATACTGGGACCACCCCCTCCAATGGGGACCACTAAGGTTAGGGCACTGATAGGGGATGTGGGGTTGGGGGTGAAGATGCTGACAATCTTACATGTGGTACAAATGATCAGTATAAAGGCTCTGTGCAGAATATTTTACAATTTGTGAATTCTAGTAAGATCTAGGACCACTCTTTACTATGGGGCCTTTTAAGGTTAGGGCATTGGTAGGGGAACGGATGGATTGGGGTGAAGAAACTGGCAGTTTTACATATGATACTAGATATTTGTTACAAAGAACTGTGCCGTGTATGTTACAAGTCATGAATAAGATTTTATCACCATTGATTTACATTTACATTTTCTTGAACCCACAGGAAGAAAGGAAAACCTGGCTTGCATATCACAAGAAGAAATGGCAGCTTCAAGCCAAGGACAGAACAGAGAGAAAAAGAAGAAGAGTAGAGTTTGGGGACATAGCCACTGGGACTTACATTGGAGGGAACAGAACAGGTCTAAGTGGATTCCTCCGCAGAACAGCTCGCAGCATCATGGACATGCCCTGGCAGATTGTACAGGTAACTTGTCCTAATGTGCTCAAGGAAGACTTTCTTAAATCATGCCTATTGTAATCTTTAGAAATTTTTATCTGTCATTTTATATTTGCATTTTACAGTGAAATTTGTTTTATCTGGATGTTGTGTTATCAAAATCTTGTCTTGACTAGACAAGTTTTGTAAATGTTGTATTTTCAATTTTGAAAACTAAGATAAATCACATTCATAATCAGTTGCTCATTAAAATCATTTCTTCTTAGGTTAAGACTTAATAATGTCTTGAGATTGCACCTAATATAAAAAATGCATGTGTATGAGTAATCTAAACTGAGTGCACTTGTATAAGGTAATTGATAAATTTTAATTCTTCAGTTAATGGAGACAGGACACCCAGGACAGTTTAAGTTATGGGCTTTGATTGGAAATGATCTCCATGCCATGAAAGTCAACGTACCAAGGATTTTCTATGTCAATCAAAGGACCCCCAAGGATGGAGAGGGGCAGAGTGAGTAAAGTAAACCATTTAGGGATCACTGTGTAAAAAACACTGTTCTACACTTTTACTTTGTGGTATTAGCTGGTTAAAGTCTCCTTAAACCTCTGGTAGGTGACGAACCTATGCAAATTGGTCGGGGGAACAATAATTTGACACAGATGGTTTCAAAGCATTTTCTTTGTGACAGTGCTTTTTTTCCCACTCACCAATTCCCAGATCTTGATATGCTAAGATATTCTGTAAAATTATATCTCTTTTTCAGTGGTAGAGAATTATTATTTTTTGACTGGTTTTGAATGTTTCAGTGTGGAAGAAAGTGATAAAGACGCTACCTCGATCACATCCAGTGATGTTTCTGTATGAATACTCAGTGCCAGAGGATGTTTATCAGGAGCATATCAAGTGAGTCTAGAGTAGGCTCATCTAAAACAAGTTTCCCTACTGTTGGAGTGCTTAGCTTTGGCATCAATCATTTTATAATCGCATATTTTACTGTTCAATATCTTGACTTAAAAGTCAAATTATACATTTGTGTATGTAAAGTGTATGATTCAAGTACTGAGTATTCTACGTGTAATTGTAACCATATTAATTAAAAAAGTTTTATTGCATATAAATAGTGGGCTACATTTTAAAATTGTATAAATAAAGAAGCAATTGAATAATTTATCTAGTGAGATAAGTGCAGACCTGTCGTCCCCTGACATCGAGGGTGTTTACGAGACCCAGGTCCCATTGCTGTTTCGAGCCCTCTCCCGACTGGGCTGTATCACAACAGTGAATCGTGACTTTGCCAAGTACATGCAAGGGCGAGTAAGTAATACAATACAATAGGTGTAATTTAACTGAAGTCCAGGTTTAATATAGTGTTGGAAAAATAAAAGAATGCAAATTAAGTGACATGAGATTTGTGTTAAATTGATTCTTTCTTGATCTTTCTTTTCAGGAAACAGATACATTTGAGTTGGACCACCTAAATTTCAGAACTGTGGCACAGTTCTCCTACTTGGAGCCAGGCACCATGAAGCATATATACCTTTATCACCATGTTTGGTATGTCAGTAATGTCAGAAGGACATCAAAATTTATTGCATGGATGATTATTGTTCCAAAAGGGCATCTTCGCTAGCCAAGGGTTTCTGATACGCTATACTCTCCTCATAAACCCTTGGCATACGGTGTTCATAAAAATCGGGATTTTTTTCCAGAGTTCTGATTGGATTTCAGTACACACCTGTCGACCAATCATCAATTGTTTTTTGTAAATGACGATGTTTGTGTTCGGGATACTTCTTGACTCTTTAATCTCGGAATTGAAAAACGCAAGTAAATAACGATTCGTAAGATAACATGCAATTCTATGAATAGCTATGGTGTCATCCAATATCTGCTAAATATGTGATTAAGAATCTATATTGAAGCTTCCGATTTGTACTATAAGTAATAAATAAACATAACTCAATTATTGCTTCTAAATTATTCTTGAAAAAACTTTTTTTTTTTTTAAACATGCGTCTTTATTTCTGTCAATGACGCAATCTGTGCGTACCTGAAAGATTCAAGATCACGTGACGAAAATAATTCCGTCTTTTGACTTCACCGTATGCCAAGGGTTTATGAGGAGAGTAGCGTATCAGAAACCCTTGGCTAGCGAAGATGCAAAAAGGGGAATTATGAGATATTTCTTTTTCTTCAGTGGGAACAAAATGATATATGGACTTTTCTTCCCCATGTCAAAGAGGACCGTGGTTTACATAGTGGACACAGTGAGAAGTGACCAGATGCCAACTCTGAATGCTCTGTACAATGCAGAGAGAAATTCCAAGTAAAGCAAATAAAATTTCAGATTTTGCCTAATAATTTGGATTCTATTTATTGATCTACATATCACAAGAACCTACATGTGTAATTTATTGAGATTTTAATCAACATTGTTTTGTATTCCATTTAAGAGTGTCTTAAAGTTGTTTATCACCATTTGAATGGAAGAAATGTAATAACAGAAGTGAAAACCTTGCAAATCTAACGAATTTCTACTTTGATGATTATAGATTGACCAAAATAGATGAGGACAGTTTACCCCCTGCTAATCACACATTTGAGTACAAACTTGAGAAAGATGTCCGCCAAGTGTACAGGTCAATACAGAGGTCACTGTCAGCTTACAAGGACGAGAAACGAGGACCAACCTACATAGCCATTCAGTCACCGCAAGGTTTGTAATTAACTTGTCCTTGAGGGTTAAAATCAGCATAAATTGAGAGGGGGGGTGGGAATTGTATGCAAATTTTTTTTTTGATCAAATCTTCTATTTATGCCAATAGCAGGCACAAAGCTTATTCTCTGATATTTTTGATTGACAAAATACTAGTTTGAATTTGTGTAGAGTATGTACCTTCTAGTAGTGAGATATTTATTGTAGATCTTTTCTCAGTTCTGAACCTTTGATACCTTTATAATAATTTTGAATTTAATATTTTCGCATTGCCTATCAGATTTCCAGCATTTGACCTCTTCCATGCCAGGCCTGAATGATTTTCCTCTGGTGCCAATTCATGTGACAGATAGGTAAGTAATGAAATTCATGTAAGCTGAGAGTTTAAAAGTGAAGAGTACATATAGAAGGCACTGTACGTGTATGTGTCTTGTATTGCAGCGATAGCCTTTACAATGTGCTGGACTGGCAAAGAGTGGGCTGTAGACGTATGATACAGCAGTACCTGTACAGTAATGTAATTCTCCAGGTGGGTCACTGATACACAAGGATAGATGGAGGCATCCTTATGACATTTCGATGCAAAGTTTGACAAATAATCGAGGGGCACAATCAGGGTTTCAGGATTTCAATAATTTATCATAGAAAAGGGAGCCTTTTGACAAATTGGCTTAATTTTTGTATGTGTTTTGAAGTCACCATCACAACAATCAAGTCAAAATAGATACAGTCTGGACCATGGTTTCTGTTGCATCTTATTTCCTGTTTCTGTTATGTTTATCTGACTGTTCGAAGTGTCTATTATTTCAGTCCATGGTTGAGCAGTGCCGGTTTCTTCACATCCCTCTAGGAAACTTCCCTAAAGACATCACCATGTTTGGCTGTGACTTGTTCTTTGCTCGATACCTGTATAAAAACAACCACGTGTTGTGGTGCTCCCCCACGGAGAGACCAGACCTGGGAGGCAAAGAGGCCGATGACAACAGGTGAGGGACCTTTTGAGACCTCACTCACTAATTCTTGAAGAAATTGTAAATCAACAGAATGCTTACTTATGATAGAGCTGAAAGTTGTCTTTAATTGTTACACATTAGATTTGAAAACTCATGTCTCAGTCTCTTCATTTTTCTGACCTTATGTGGGATGGTTGTTTCTCTCTAGGTTGTGTATGGAGTTGGAGGAGAGTACAAGTGTTGAGGTGAACAACCCAGGAACTTTTCCCACTGTGTGTGTAGAATTGGAGATAGCTAGTCTGGCTGTCAACACAATTATTGAGGTAAGAGACTGGTGTTTACTTGTAGGCTAATTGGAAATTCAAAGACTTGTACTACTTAGATGTAGAGATTAATAGCCAAACTCTTAAGTTTGATGTAACCTCCAATACTGATTAAGACTTCCACAACAGTGTATGGAAGTAGTAATTGCAGGCCTGGGTGTCAGTGCAATCAAGTTTGAAAAGCCCCCTAATCTGAGTGACACTTGACTATATGTGTATATTTTGCAGTCCGCCCACGTCAATGACCAGGAGGGGGCCAGTGCTGTCAGTTTTGATACGCTCCCCCAGTCCTCCCTTGAAGAGATGGTTCAGGGTCAGGGGGCGGCCACCTATCTCGCCAGCTACGATGAAACAGCCCTCTGCTCTACCAGCTTCAGGTGAGTTTAATGTGGGAATAGTTTACTTATGTCGAGATGTAGGTGAGTTTGTGGTGGGAAGAGTTTCACTTTTGTCGTGATCAGCTTTATTTTTTATTATTTTAAACTTGCGTTTGAAAAAGGAGTAGGTGCAAGCATTCATTTATCAGCTGTAAGTTATAGGTTGTATTTGTACATGTTCTTATGAACAGAATTCTGAAGACCATGGTGCAGGGATGGGTGAGAGATGCCACAAAGTACAACAATATATTTGCAGACAACCAGATCATTCACTTCTACAGGTTAGTTTTTAATCATTCTACAGGAACTTAGCAAACATACTTGTTTGAGGCAAATTTTACAGCTCTAAAGCAAGTGAAAAGCATTTCGGTCAAATCCACCCACTCTTTTTCAGGTGGCTGCGTTCTCCTAACGCCTTGTTGTATGACCCAGCCCTCAGGAGAACCCTTCACAACATGATGAAAAAAGTCTTTCTACAGGTAGATGTTACATTGCATTCTAGATGTGATCCACTGAAATTGTTGCAATTCTTTCTGTAATATATAGAGTGTAAAGTCTTCTAAGTACAACTTGTTTCACTTCCATCTAAGAGCAATTTTTATCATTTTTCAGCTGATTTCCGAGTTTAAGAGACTTGGATCCAACATAGTTTATGGTAATTTCAACCGTCTCATCTTGTGCACAAAAAAGCGCCACCTAGTGGATGCTCTGGGTTATGTGGAGTACATCACCAACAGCATCAAGTCCAAGAACCTGTTCCACCTGGTGGAGATGACCTACGCCCAGTGTTGGGAATACCTCATGTGGCTAGACCCCGTAAGTCCACTTTCCAGTGAATACTTTTATAATGGGGGAGTTTTTCAAAATTTTGCATCTGTCAGAAGTATAGTTTCTTAAATTTTCCTTGATTTTTAAGGGGGAAAATTTGTTCAATTTACAGTGATTACTTCTTAAAAAGGGAAGCTTTTTCCAAATTTCGTATCTTTGATTTTTTTGCAGTGAATATTTCTTTAAAAATGGAAGCTTTTCTAAATTTTGTATCTTTCATTTGAATTATAATTTTTGGAATTTTCCATGATTTCTAAAGGAAAAAAATTGCCTATGAATAGAAAAACCTTTTGAATTTGTGTCTAAAAAAGTGTTGTGGATATTGAAAGGAAAAAAATCATCCTTTGATTTGAACAACCTTCTGAATTTGTATATATTATAAACTGTTTTGGTAAATGTATTCAGGCCAATCATGGGGGTGTGAAAGGAAAGCTGCCCTCTGAAACCCCACTGGAGCAGACTCAGCCTGATCCTGACAATGAGGGGGGCGGGGACAGTGGAGAGGAGGGGGAGGAAGAGGAGGAGAGGGAGCAGCAGGAAGTTCTGAACAAGTCCGAGGATGAGGACGAGGTCTGTACATAGAATGGAGATCAAACAATTCACGCGACATCTTATTTTCATGTGGTTGTTGTTTATAATAGGTATTTAAAAGTGAAACAAAATTTTATTGAATTTTGGTTATTGCTGATGTAATCTTTAAAAGTTGAATTATATGTGAGAAGGAAATTTTTGGGGGCAGACAGTCTTGCATTATTATGTGAAAAAATATATAATATTCTTTTATTGCAGCCAGAGATAGAAATGAACTGGAACATAATGCAATTCCTACCAGAGGCTGGGGCATGCCAAACTAATTTCAATGTGAGTAAAAAAGGAACAAAGTATGGAGAGATAATAAGAATTTTATAAGATAAGTTATGTAGATACAGTCAATTTTTAGCCAGATTTATAACTGACTTTTGTAACTTTAGCTGATAGTTGCTGGGTACATTCTGTCGGTGTATAACCAGCTTCAGGAGGAACAGAAAACCCTCACCCCTGGTAACACTCCCGTGAAGCGTCGCCATAACAGTCAGAGCCAGGTAAAAGTGTATACATGTATATATTACAAAATCAAAGGTCACTTACATCTCATTTTGACCAGATATGCTGTGAGGAAAAGCTTGAAAGAATATATGTATACTGAAAGGAAAAAGAAACGCACAAGAACATAACATTGGAAAATTTTTTGACTATGTGGCCGAAAATAATGAAACTTGGTCATATGTGTATTTTGGTTACTTTGCACTATAATTGCTGGTCAAAACTACTCAACCATGAAATGTATGGCGTCACGTAGGGGGAATGATAAAAAGTCAAAAACATGTGCATGTTGATGATGATCATTTTGTGATAAAATTTTGTAGTGCCATACGATGCATTAGAGTTATTGACATCGTTTTTGCATATTTGCAGTCAGTATAAATTTCTTGCAATCGTGGTATGACTGACGGAACCTACTGTGGGTTTAGTAATTGAATTCAATATTGCATAAGTGAATAAAAAGGCAAAAACATGCTGCTGTATAGATTGTTTTCAACTTTTCAACCAAATAAAAGTTTTTTGGTTGTCAGAGAGTTAACTTAAAATGTCTCCAACCAACCATGATGGTGACGTTGGAGTGTAACAACGTCACAACAAGATAGGGCTTTTGATCATGCCACCTCGGATATTGTCAAGGCATTATCACTGAAACTGATATTTGTACAGCAGACAATCATAATCATTGTTTTCACCCTAAATTGACAGAAACTCTCTGCTCTAATTTAGGCCGCGAGCTTGGCAACTTTACGTCGATTTTACTCTCAAACGCGCATGTACGCGTCGTTTACGTGATTTTTTTAGCATGTTTACACTAGAAAAAAGTAGCTAGCGTTTGTCGAGACTTTTTTTACAAACATTCACATGTACCAAACCTGTTGGGTTCTGTACATTCTATCCTAAATCGAAAATTCGTAAGATTCGATTTGGCGGGGGGATTTGTTGGCTTTGGAATAAAACAGCTAATCTCAGCCATTAAGACTACCGTTGGAAGGGTTGAAAAATAATGCTTTGAAAAAAATAAATGCTCTGGTGAACTCATTGCACAGGAAAATCAAGTTTGTTATTGATGCGAAAGGGAGATTATGAGAATTTTTAGTTTTATTTTTGGGGGGTGTCGACATATTGATATCAGTATCTCAGGAATTATCACTCAAAATCACACAAAACTTTAGTAACTTGTTGATTAAAGGTGAATTAAAATTTTATGATAACAATGCTGGAAAACATATTTAAAAGAATTGTTTTAATTTAACTCAAAAGTTTAATATGCATTTCTTTATCCTTTGAGTACATGTCTCTCAGTATGATGAATGCTTGAAACTATAGGTTCAGACTGTTTGTAATTATCTGGTTCTGGTTTCAGTTTACATCTTGAACTTTGCTTTGGATTTCTTAAGTACAGGTCTCTGTAAGAATCAGACAATATGTGTATAAAAGTGAATCATGAGGGTTCTCAGAATTCAATGATTTTACACACATAGGTTTCTCTTACACTATGAATCACGTATGTAATATGAAAATTATTTTGGGTCCTGGTTACTATGGAAACATGGCCAAAGAAATTTTCCCTAGCAACCGGTCAATTTTCCATGTTTATGGACAAATATATCACTAAACTTAGAGGCTTGAAATTGAATGTGAATATTACCAGAGGGGTTCTTAAATAATGTTATCATAAAGATAAACATTTCAAGTGATAAAACCATGCAATACATACTATTTTTATTTTAAGATATTTCTTTTACGGGCAATGGAAGATATGCATGTTTTGCATTTTTTGCTGATTCAGCATTTTTGTAAATTTGGGCAATTTTCAAGGCCATATATCTCAAACTTCTGGCACAATACAAGAGTATCGTATATTTTATATAAAGGCAGAGGAATTTCCCTTTTGGAATTTAAATTCAAAAACGTGTGTTTTTTAGCTCACCTGAGCCGAAGGCTCAAGTGAGCTTTTCTGATCAAAATTTGTACGTTGTCTGTCGTCGTCGTCGTTGTCGTTGTTGTCGTTAACTTTTCACATTTTTGACTTCTTCTTAAGAACCATTGGGCCAATTTCAACCAAACTTGGCACAAAGTATCTTTAAGTAAAGGGGATGCAATTTTGTTCAAATGAAGGGCCACACCCTTATTCAAGGGGAGATAATTCAGAAATAGTGAAAATTTTATGGTATGTTTTAAAAATCTTCTTCTCAAGAACCACTGTGCTAGGAAAGATGAAACTTATAGGGAAGCATACTCAGGTAGTGTAGAATCAAGTTTGTTCAAATCAGGACCCCCAGGGGTAGGGCGGGGCCACAATGGCCGATCAAAGTTTTACATAGAAATATATAGGAAAATTCTTTAAAAATCTTCTTCTCAAGAACCACTGTGCCGGGAAAGATGAAAGTTATAGGGAAGCATCCTCAGGTAGTGTAGATTCAAATTTGTTCATGTCATGACCCCCGGGGGTAGGGCAGGGCCACAATGGCCGATCAAAGTTTAACATAAAAATACATAGGAAAATTCTTTAAAAATCTTCTTCTCAAGAACCACTGTGCCAGGAAAGATAAAACTTATAGGGAAGCATCCTCAGGTAGTGTAGATTCAATTTTGTTCATATCATGACCCCGGGGGGTAGGGCGGGGCCACAATGGCCGATCAAAGTTTTACATAGAAATACACAGGAGAATTCTTTAAAAATCTTCTTCTCAAGAACCACTATGCCAGGAAAGTTGAAACTTATAGGGAAGCATCCTCAGGTAGTGTAGATTAAGGTTTGTTCAAATCATGACCCCTGGGGGTAGGGTGGGGCCACAATGGCCTATCAAAGTTTCACATAGAAATGTAAAGGAAAATTCTTTAAAAAATCCTCTTCTCTGGAATAGCAAAGGCATGAATAATCATATTTTTATGGAAGCATCTTCAGGTAGTGGAGATTCAATTTTGTTCAAATTATGACCCCCCGGGGGTAGGGCGGGGCCACAATGGCCTATCAAAGTTTCACAAAGAAATATATAGGAAAATCCAAATTTTCTTCTCTGGAATAGCAAAGGCATGAATGATCATATTTTTGTGGAAGCATCCTCAGGTAGTGGACATTCAAGTTTGTTCAAATCATGACCCCTGGGGGTAGGGTGGGGCCAAAACATGGAATCCAAGTTTTACATAGAAACATTTAGAAAGAAATCTTTATAAAAATCTTCTTTTCAAAAATAGCAAAGCCATGATCAGTCCTATTCATAGCGAAGCATTCTCAGGTAGTGTAGATTCAATTTTGTTCAAGTCATGACCCCTGGGGGTAGGGCGGGGTGACAATGTAAGTTCAAATGTAAAGGGCAATAAAGCCAAATGTAGTCAAAGAAATATGCAAGCATTCTTAGTTAGTGTAGATTCAAGTTTGTTCAAATCATACCCTCTCCCTTTTAAGGATATTTTGGGACCACTATTGGGTTTCAACTTTTTAATAATAAACTGATTTATGCTTTTTTCCTAGCCACATTGCTCAGGTGAGCGATGTGACCCATGGGCCTCTTGTTAATATTTACAATCGGTTGCCTAGCAACAAAAATGGATGTTTTGATTAAGAGAAAGAGACAAATTGTCAAATATGCGAGTTATTTATGGAATCATATCTTATTGGCGGATACCAAATTCAATTTTTAAAGTAAAAACATATTTCTGAGACTTCTTTATGAATCCAGGAATATTTTGTAAGTACTTATTGCCATAGCAACAGAAAATTCCCCTTAGCAACAAAGAAAATGAATCCACTTTTGACATGCACTCATATTTGTTTGTAAAGATTATTCAGTGTTTGACAGACCACAGAGATTTAAGAGCCTCAGTACATTTTTTGTACTTTATTAGTCCCCAACCCGTGAAACTGGAGGGGGCTTTAGGTTTCTGTCCGCCGGTCTAGCTGTCCCTAAGTCTGTCTGTAAGTCTGTCCTACTTGGGTTTCCACACTTATTTTCTAAACGCTTGCATATATTGAGCTGAATTTTGTCATGTGAGTGTATCTTGGTGAGTCACAGATCAAGTTTGAATGTCGTTACGCTTCATTGATTTTTGATAGATTTATGGCGTTTTAATTTTTTTCATAATGGTTTAAGATCGGGTTCGTGCTGCGCTTAATTCCAAATGTCAACATGGTAAACTTGAAGCCAAAAGAAGACGTTAAAAATGAGTTGAATTTCCGTCTTTTATGTTTTATTTTTTTTTTAGATTAAAGGCATGCATAACCTCAAAATTTTAACATCAAACACTTTTACCTTGGTCATAACTTCTGCATGTTATAAAATGACTTTTAGAGAAAAAGAGGGAACTGCATTAATTGCTTATGTTTTTAACGTAAATTAATTAATTGCTTATGTTTTTAACGTCTACTATAACGCCCTTCGGGCGTTATAGAATTTGATCACGTGACCGACTTCATGTCATACCCCAATGCAACTCTAAAAATGATATCTTATTTCTTAATTTAAGGTGAGTCAAATAACAAGTTTCTTGATTAAAGCTGAAAACTACTCGTAAAAAGGCATAGTCCACCATATTTCCCATTCTTCAACACTCTCCCTACAACCCATATATAAGGAGCAGATCGCTTTTCAGTTCAATGTATTTTGCTGTAGAAATCAAGTGTTGACGTACATCTTACATGTACATAGCCGTGCTACTCGGTCGCGATGAAATTATCAAAGTTAACAAACTTTTTCCAAAACAGTACAAAAGTATCATGAAAAATATAGGTCGATACAATAGTGCACATAAAAACAAGGAATAAACGCAAAAAATCTAAGACCACGCAAGGAGGACTACATGTCGGTCACGAGTTTCGAGTGTGCAATCGGGTGTCACAAAATCGAACTGTTTATATACCCTTCTGACAGTGCCTATATATGAGAACATGTAAATAGTACCCAAGAAAGCAAATTCCAAAAGCAGCAAGATATTACTTTAAACCACTGGTACTTTGTTTCCGCGGTTACACGGAAAAGAAGAAAATGATGTGGTGGTGTTGTGGTGTTGCAAGATCCTAGGGATGTATACATGTCACAAATGCAGATCCAGTGCAAGTGTGCCGGTCATCCCCCATCCCGTTTGAAGATTTTGCACATGTACAGTAATGTATATAAAATTTATATGTCCACTATCCTAAAACCAAGGAAAAAACATATTTCATTTGTGAACCCCCACTAATGCCTTGCCCTAAGCACAATGGGGAGTTCAATGCAGCCTTGGACCCCCTGCCTTCTACTGCCCCCCCTAACAAATTCCTGTTTTTTTTTTCTCTTAAGATAGGAGCATTAGCCCAATTTCAGTAAAGTGTGAACAGATAGCCAATGAAACATGCAAATTTATGCTGAAGTCAGAAAATCTAGTGTGTATTGGTATTTTATATAGTGCACGAAGTAGAAATCAGATTTTGCAAATATAAAAAAAAAACATTTTTTTTATTAAATTCAAACATTTGGAAATGAATGTATTCTTTGAAAATTAAGGTACATTGCTGGCATGATGAACTTAACATGCAACATGTACAGTACATATTGTATTTTCTATAATGTATAAACAAGTGAAAGGCACTATTATTGATGCACTCGCTAGTTGCACAAATTTTCCTAGATTACATTATTCTTTTTTATTCTGTGTAATAACATGAATAAGTAACTGTACTCATTTGAGGGCACTTGGTCTTCGGGAGTATAGTATATATCTACACCGTGTTACAGTTTCTATCGAACATGTTCAATTTTGCAAAGCCTAGCCAATGAAATTCATTTTTAATATTTACAATGCAGTCATCATTATTTTCTATCCTTTTTTGGAGACATGCTTGAAGAATACAATTATCACTACTTAAAAAGAAAAAAAAAAACAATATTTAAGGATTTTCTTTTCCCTGACCAGTTCAAGAGGAAATTCACCTAATTCACAATATCCGATTACCATAATGTTATATGTATTCTGAAAAGGGTACATAGTGCGGTGTGCAGATATAGTTATATGTTTTGTTGTACAGTGTTTAGTGTATTGATGTATACGGGTATACCTATTGAATACGTCAAAACACCCCTCCTTTTAAGTAACACTATGTATCATTGTAAGTTACAAAAACAATTTGATTAATCTTTTGAAATTTAATGCTTTACAAGTTTAAAAAAAATTACACAAAAAATTAAAGAGAATTTGTACACTTCGATTGATTGATTGTGTATATTGTTAAACATCTCTCTCTTGAGAATTTTTCACTCACATGGAGACGCCACCACTTGCCGGTGGAGTGCTGTAAATTTTGTCATATACATGTACTTGGCACTGAGGGCCATTGAGCAGGGAGGGATCTTTTTTCGTGCCAGCACCTACTGCGACACGGGACCTTGATTTATACGGTCTCATCCGAAGGACCGGTCTCCACGTCCAACAGTGGAATTCGATCCCAGGATGTAAGGATTGACTCCTTTGCGACTCTTGAGCAAACGCTTTAAGGTCAAGATCTAGTAAATTACTTGAAACTACTTTTTTGTGCTAGATCCATTATGACGTCATAATCAATTTCAACTTTCTTTTTTCCCGTATTTACGGCTTAAGCAGAATTATGTAGAAAATAGGGTATTTCCATGACACTTAATTTGAAGTCATATGAAAAGTAAACCGGGTACCTATATTTAATTCTATATCGATTTAAAGCAGAGGCCATGAACATACTAATTACCGTTTTCTGAGAGACTGTAGGCAATCTGGATACATTTCCTTTGTCGAATATGAGAAAAACTCCCATATAAATGACTGGTTTTCTTAATTTTTCATTCAAAATGACAGTTTAAAATACAGTTTTTCATCTTGTTTATCTACAAGTTATGCCCCGAAACACCTAATTTGACCCAGCTAAAGTTGTAAAGCACCAATAGAGGAATTTGTTTCTCAAGTTTGATAAATCTGTAGGCACCTTTCATTTACTAGATCTTGACCTTAAGTTTAACCACTGCGCCACGCGGGCGCCTGTAGACTTCGAAAGATGTATGTTGAGTTTCGAAATCCATTGCTCGGTAAAAATATATCATCTCATGCAAAGTGATCAATAATGCTATGAACACTACGGATAGAAATTTACAGTACAAAATATTAGGCTATAATTCTTTTTGTCCCACATTTATATGGCAAGTATTGACTTTGGACAATTGCAGGCAATTTTTCTGAATTAATTTGTCCTGCTTAGGGCATTGATTACCTAGTGATGTATTGTAGATTTATTATACCCACTTTGGACAATTGTTTCAAAGGATGTAGCAACAGGGGGCCCAGGGGGTGGGGGCTACCCCCCCCCCCCCCAGTCTTTTCGAACTTATCACTGTAGGAAATCTTTATTAAAAGGCACCCCCAACTTTACAGTTACAGTTAAGGGAAATAAAGGAAATGTATTGTTGCATTAAAATAAAATTTGGTGCTAGCTAAAGGTGTACATGTGCTTTAATTTATTGTTCAAAAAATTAAATAAAAATATCATATATGAATTATACAAACAATGATATTTCAATAAATATATTTTATACACCTAGAGCAAGCCCCTGTGCACCAAAATGCATTTTTTAACTTCATAAAAAGATTGCTCATGAGGAAAACTTTGTGTGGTAAAAATTGTAAATCATGCTAGTTTGAACATCTAACCGTCTAAGCAAGCTACTCTAAGTATACATACAGTGTTACGTAGAGATTGTGTCTGTCACTGTCTGACCTGACGTATATCTACATTGTCTCTCATCAACGTTTTTTAACATGTAATATATTTTTATTGCAAAATGTACCGGGGTCGGGGGAGAGTCAGGGCAGAGGCCCCTTCAGGTGTGACAATTTTCAAAGCAGAGGAATCTCGGGTTAAATGCATGAAAGCCACAAAATGGAAAGAAAAAAGCACAGGGACTTGCTCCCAGCATGTAATAATTATTTATAAAAAAAATTATTTAGAGAGTAATCCAAGGGAAGTAATTGGGAAGCAAAAATGCTTCAAAATGCAGAAAAAAATCAATATTCACCTTTAAAATTCTTTTATGCATATCATTTGCCCACCGAATTTCTATTTTAAATGTTAAATTTAATAAAATATTGACCTTCATTTTTCTATGCTTAATTTGTAAATTACCATATTTTGATAGTTCCCAGTACCTAGCATGACCATTTGCAAGTGTGAAATTTAAATTGAATCGTAAACATTGTTGTTTGAATCTCTAGCATTGGTTTAAAAAATTAAACACAAATTTAATTATCTCCTGTATCCCGTTTCCATGGCAACCGAGGTTATAATTCAAAAATACTTCTACATTTCACAATCAATCACACATTTGTTTAAAATTATGACAGAAAAAAATCAAATCTGTAACTATGCGTTGCCAACCAATTTTGATAATTACGGAGAATTGGTCTTAAAATGCATATGTACAGAGACTTTAGAGAATAACTTTAGCTCCTTGTAATGTATAATTTTATTAACGTTATAAGCTCAATAATATTGCTATGCATCAATTAAGAACAAACATGACCATTGTTAGAGTTCAACACTATTTTTTAATATTTACCAAGTCATCATTTCTAGACAAAAATAATCAAATCTGTGAATGAGTGCATGTCAAAAGTGGATTTATTTTCTTTGTTGCTAAGGGGAATTTTCTGTTGCTATGGCGATAAGTACTTACAAAATATTCCTGGATTCATAAAGAAGTCTCAGAAATATGTTTTTACTTTAAAAATTGGATTTAGTATCCGCCAATAAGATTTGATTCCATAAATAACTCGCATATTTGACAATTTGTCTCTTTCTCTTAATCAAAACATCCATTTTTGTTGCTAGGCAACCGATTGTAAATATTAAAAAACACACGTTTTTGAATTTAAATTCCAAAAGGGAAATTCCTCTGCCTTTATATAAAATATACGATACTCTTGTATTGTGCCAGAAGTTTGAGATATATGGCCTTGAAAATTGCCCAAATTTACAAAAATGCTGAATCAGCAAAAAATGCAAAACATGCATATCTTCCATTGCCCGTAAAAGAAATATCTTAAAATAAAAATAGTATGTATTGCATGGTTTTATCACTTGAAATGTTTATCTTTATGATAACATTATTTAAGAACCCCTCTGGTAATATTCACATTCAATTTCAAGCCTCTAAGTTTAGTGATATATTTGTCCATAAACATGGAAAATTGACCGGTTGCTAGGGAAAATTTCTTTGGCCATGTTTCCATAGTAACCAGGACCCAAAATAATTTTCATTTTACATACGTGGTTCATAGTGTAAGAGAAACCTATGTGTGTAAAATCATCGAATTCTGAGAACCCTCATGATTCACCTTTTGTCTGATTCTTACAGAGACCTGTACTTAATTATCAAGACCTTTCAAAAGAGTGTGGCAGATAAAGCATCTTTTAGGGACACCAAAATATATATTATTGTATAAATGTTTGGAATTCAAACATGCATATGTATCCTTCCCAAGTAATGTAGTTGTGTACCATTAATAAATACAGCAGAAATAATGAATCATTAATACATATATCTTTCATTTTCTACAACTATCATTTTCTAACAGAAAGTTGTAGAGACCACCACAACACCCCTATCAGTTACGTTTGCTCAGGAATTGGTGGCAGGAGACCTTGCACAACAAATGTTTCTGTAAGTACATAGTTCTAACCAGATAATCCAGTTTACAGCATGCTAGGCCAGAGTCAGAGACTGGTAATCCTGTCTATGTTTATATTAACAGAATTACTCAGAAGATTCACAAGAAATTTGGCCACGTCAGTGACATGTCAGGGGAATTTCCAAACAGACCTGGGTCACACCTGGCTATGCAGAATCCAGCTCTGGAATTTGTCAAATGTGTCTGTAAGGTAAGCAAAACCTGTAATTTATTTGCTCTGTGTAGTTTTCACACATTTCATCTAAGAGAAACCATGCCAACCTTCACTTGCATACTTTCAACTTCAAGGTTGTCAATGAATTTTCACCTCTGATATGAATAAAAAAAATTGTGTACATTTATTTTCTGATTTTCTTTGGCTTGTCTGTATCATTTACAGGTATTTCAGAATTTTCTTTATGGCAGTATTTCAGTTACATGTACACGTATCATACATTGCATATGCAGCTGTAGATTACAAAGTCTATTAATCCCTTTTTCCAGGTTCTCTCTTTGGATAGTAATATTAACCTACAGGTACTGAAGCTAAAGAGAGACCTTTTGAAGTTGATTGGAGTTGGGGAGTTTGCCGAGGAAGCTGCTTTCACCGATCCTTGTCTTTCCTATGTCCTACCAGAGGTCATATGCAAATCATGTAACCACATCCGTGACCTTGACCTTTGCCGGGATCCTTATCTTAGTCAGGATAGGACAGAGTAAGAATCTTCTACACAAGTACACTTGTAGCCTTTAGAAAGAATTAGTTTCAGCACCATTGATAAAAACAAACTTTTAAGGCAATTTTCAAAATAGAGATACAGTCAAACTTTGTTTTCTTGAGCACAATAAAAATGCGAAATCAGAGGATTCAATATTGTACCTAAATCTACTTCCTCACAGTTCCTCGTGGACCTGCGTGCATTGTAAGGCCCCCTATGATATGGACGAGATTGAGGATACACTCCTGGACGCTGTACACAGGAAGTCCATGGCCTTCATCCTGCAGGATCTCAAGTGTGTCAAGTGTAATGGAGTAAGTATGCTAAAGGCTGATGTTTTAATATTAGAGGGTTTTGATGACTTCCGTCTTTATCCGTAAAAGCAGGAATAAGCCCTATGTGAAGAACTTGTATTTCATCTTAATCTCAGGAGCTTTAACACTTGGTCTAGATGCTGTATTAGACATACATTTTATGCTCCTTTGCCTGATAAAACGCAAAATTAAGCAGAATAAAAGATTAAGTCCTTTTTCATCTTAGGGGTTTATCAAAATGCAAAGACATGGCACACTTTTTGATGTTTGTCATACATTTACGTTATATGCTCTGGTGGTTCTTGGTTAAACTTAGTGTTTGAGTTAATTTCAAGCTTACTAAATAGTATTCAGCCAAACTTGCTTAAACTGTAACATTTTACTGATTAGTGATGGTCTTTCCCACATGTTAAATTTTTTGAAGTCATTTGAATGTACTTTCTATTGTATACATATAAACATGTACATACAGTAATATTTTTTATCATACTGAATGGCATTTTTAAGGTGAAGGACAATAATATGAGAAAATACTGTAAATGTGCTGGAGACTTCACAAACACAGTATCTTCATCTGATTTGGCAAAAACATTAATGACGTTCAAAGGAATTGCCAGGTAAGATTTATTGAAGTCCAATGATGCATTTGAAGTAAATTCAGTTTATTAATGCCTTTTTTTTTTATCCCACTTGAGCTGAAAGCACACTTAAACAAAGAAAACAGAAAATATATACTAAAATAGAACTATCGATTGCACTTCACTTATCAAATTAAGTCATTAGTCGAAATGTTCCTTGGAAAGGTAAAAAAAGAATTCATTAAAGCTTTATAACACACCTGGGTACTTATGTTTTATATTCTTAATATAGACTTATCCCATTACTGTTGTATTTCAGGCATTACAACATGGTTTTACTGACAGAAACGGTGGAATGGATATTGAAAATGAATCCTAAAATGACTTCAGACAATTAAAATCTGGATTAGTGATGTGAAAAGAAAGATGAAAGACTGTGATATTTACATGTACATTGTATCAAATAAAGTGCTTGACTTAAAAAATGTGTACTTTTTGTCCTTTTTTGTTAGCTCACCTGAACCATTGCTAAGTACTGTATTAAAATGTGTTTTATTTAGTGTGGAAGTTGATTTTCGAACAAGTTAGGGAAGATCTGATTTAGCACATTTCTCATTGTTCTTATGTCTATGTGTGAAAGACATTATGCATTGTGCTAGAATTAGTGGAAGTTTCTCTCAGCCAAAAGTGCTAATTAGAATACACAGCCAAATGCAATATGTTTATAGTATCTGCCCTATGTGTCCTTATTAATGCCCTGAATTTTTGTCATCAAGGAACTTGTAGCCACTTGGGAATGGATCTGCTCCAAAGTTTTTAATTTGATCATAAGATAGTAAATCCACAGGTAGATCAAATGCGCTGAAACACATTCTTATATGAATGTATCCATGAATTCTTGAGCAACAATTAATGTTCTTAAACTGTCTTGGTTGTTTGTTGACACAAATAAAGCTCTTTATCGAAAATACTCTCAGAAAACATTCATTGGGGGGTGGTATAGGAATCGGCTTGTCCGTCTGTGCAAACATGTCCGATCAGTATCTTTCTTATGGAGAAACATTATAATCTGCTACTTCACACAAAGATTGCTCATTACCTAAAGGTGTGTCATGACTTTGACCCAAGATCATTTGGGCAAGTTGAAGGTCACTAAGAAAAATTTCAGAATTCATGTCCAGTCCATATCTGTCTTATGTATAATCTTAGTGAGTTACCATTTTATAAAAAAGATTTCTTATGACCTGAGGGATGTGATGTCCTTTAATAAAGGTCATTTTTCCAAGTTCAAGGTCACCAAAAGTTTAGAATTCATGTCCAATCCATAACTTCTTTATGCAAAAAACTTGGAATATACTACTTCACACAAAGATTGCTTTTGACCTGAGGATGTGTCATGGCCTTGACCCAGATTCATATGTGTAAGTTCAAGGTCACTAAAAGAAAACGTGTGTAATTTGTGTCTATCTCTTTCTAATGGATAAGCTGTGACCTGAGGTTTGCTTAACTTTTGTCATTTGTGCAAGGTCAAGGTCACCAAAAGAAAAAAAAATGATTAATTCCAGATTACGGTGAGTTCCTTTGTTATTAGAAAATTACTTATCACTTGAGGGTGTGTCATGACCTTGACCCAAAGAGTTTGCAAGTTCAAATCACTAAAAGAAAAAAAATGAATTTGTGTCAGGACTATATCATTCTTATGGATAAGCTTGTTTTATACAAAGATTGCTTTTAACCTGAGGGTGTGATCTGACCTTGATCCAAGGTCATTTGTGCAAGTTCAAGGTAATTGAAAGAAAAAGTTCATTAATTCATGTTCCGTCCATATCTTTCTTGTGGATAAACATGGTGAGTTCCTATTTTATACAAAAATTGCTTATGACCTGAGGGTTTGTCATGACCTTAATCCAAAGAGTTTGTGCAAGTTCAAGGTCACCAAAAGAAAGAGCATAATTTGTGTCTGGTCCATATCTTTTTAGCTCACCAGAGCTAAAGGCTCAAGTGAGCTTGTCTGATGATATTTTTTTCTGTCGTCCAGCCAGCCAGAAAAGCTTAAACTTATGTGGAGGTATCCTGGTGTAGTGTATATTCTAAATTATACAAATCATGACCCCTGGGGGTAGAGCGAGGCCACAATAAGGAATCGAAGTTTTACATAGAAATATACAAGAAAAATCTTCTAACGAAGCACTGGGCCAGGTAAACTGAAACTTATGTGAAAGCATCATTGGGTAATGTAAATTTTATATTGTTCACATCATGACCCCCTTGAGTAGGCCGGGGCCACAATGGAATGGAATCCAAGTTTTACATTGAAATATATAGGCTTTTTTAAAAAAGCTTCTGCCCAAGAACGACTAGGCCAGAAAAACTCAAACTTTTGTGAAAGCATCCTGGGGTAGAGTTGATTTTCAATTGTTCAAATCATGAACCCCGGGGGAGGGCGAGGTCAAAATTTGGAAACCAAGTTTTACATCAAACTATGTAGGAAAAATCTTCTCAATAACTACTGGGCCAGAAAAGCTGAAATTTATGTGAAAGCATTATGGAGTAGTATATATTCTAAATTGTTCATATCATGACCCCAGGGGTAGGGCGGGGCCACAATATACATTGAAATACAGTGTATATAGGATTTTAAAAAAAATCTTCTCAGGAACTAATTGGCCAGAAAAACTGAAACTTATGTGACGGCATCCTGGGGTAGTGGAGATTTTAAATTGTCCAAATTATGACCCTTGGGGTAGGGGGGTTACTATAGGTATAACAATGGGGAAATATGGTGAAGAACAGCATGGTCAATGCTACTCAAGTGAGCGATGTGGTCCATGGGCCTCTTGAATTTTTTTTTCTATGGAAAATGCTCATTGAAGGTCTGCCATCTCTCCTACTTTTTGTTGCAGTATTCTTCAATAAAGTATATCGAAGTAGAAATAAATGGAAGTCAAATAGGATTTTCGAATATGTATAATTTTTGGGCTTGTCAAGTTGTTTTCAGGTAGGTTAGATTTTTCTCCCCTCCCCCTCCCCTTTCATAAACGATGCTAAAGTGTACGTCATTGGGCATATACGTATACGTACAAGTAATTGAACAAAATTTTCATTGTTTGAATTCAAATATTATGCGAACATACCATTTGTTCAACTTTATAAAAATAAAATTCAAGGTATTATATCAGATTACGAGTATATCCATAGTTTATGGGGTCTGTTTATTTTGCAACTTGTGTGTACAATTATATTTCTTTTCATAATTAGCTTTAAATACATTTTAAAATATTTATGTTTTAACATTTTCTTGTTTTGAAAATGCAGTGCTTTTCTAATTTTTTATTTATTCATTTATTTATTATATTTTATTAATAAATTTATCAATTTGTATTCTTTTGGCTGATTCAATCTTGAAAACATCCGTTTCATAGAGATCTCTTATACAGTCAATTTGCATCAATCTTACTTTGTAGCTGTTAACACATAAAATACTGTATACTGTATAAGAGATCTCTATGAAACGAATGGTTTTAAAAAAGGTGAGGCGGATTATGTTGCTCGTCAATATTATGCTATAAAAACAACAAAGCTAATTTGCAGTTTGGCCTCCTCAATAAACTAAAAACAATTCAAGCTAACATAACTTAAGGGAACATAACTTAAGGGGGCCAAACTTGGCATGTACGCTGAAGTTAATGTAAGTTATATATGGTATAAAAATGAAGAGATTCGCTTTCGTAGTTTTCACACAATAGAACCCCAGTCGCCCCTTTAAATAAAATTATAATTAATCTAATGCTGGATGACATCCCTTTCCGTTTTTTTTTTTTTTCTGCTTGATTTTTTTTATCACAGAAATGAATTTTGTATATAAGGGTCGACTTTGTCACTCTGTTGTATACAAGTTTAGATCCGCCAATAAAAATATACAAAGGGGCATAAATCGTCCATGATGGAGGCAGTCGGAAATACTCGGAAATGTTGTGTCTCTTGCGTAAGAAAATGACGGAGGATGTTCCGAATGAGAATCGGTTACCAAGGAAGTAGATCCCATATGTCAACAAAGAGTTACGGAGCGCGAAAGCGTGCGGACGGTGTAAAGGAGCAGAGATAGAAATAGCAAAACACACAAGGAAGAAAACACCCAGACAGGTTTGGTTCGTACAAACATGTTTGGTGTTGGTTTTCACTCTCATTTTAGATATATTTCATTTTGCAAAATTTAAATATAAACTCTGTTACACTCATTGGTTATCAACACAGAGGGATGCATGATTGATACATCAAAGGCTAGCACTATCAAGGAATCATACTTCAAGGTCCTTATTTTTCACAAATTCTACCTGTTTTGTTTTTGATAAAATTTTTTTTTAACTATTAAACATAACTTTTTATGGAGATTCTTTTTTTTGCATAGGAGAAGTAGGTCTACAAAATTTACAAAAGTGTGTATAAAATAAACTAACGTTATAGTAAAACAATCGAGCTATGCAGTTGGGACATATAAAATTAACACGCACAAAAAAGGAAAGTTAAGCAAGTCAACATCATATACAGATCTTTAATATTTATCAGGTTTGACAAGAACATGCAAAACTTCTGTAAGGATCGAAAGTCGGGTATTGAGGTTAATATATATTGAAAAAGGGATTAGTTTCCGCTACTCTATAAACCTACTTACATTTTAATCAGTTGCTTAAATTAATATTTAATTGATTATCATTAATTTCAAATGTTTTTTTAGTTTCAAATACAAACTAAAATATCTCGTACAATTCCGGATTTTTTACACCGTATCCGCTCCGAACGTTACTTATAGAAATAACCCGGATACTGTTACCATGACTTCACACGAGTTGTAGGCCGCGAAGGCTTTGGACGCACGGAAAGAAGGAGAGGTTGAAAAATAGAAATTGGGGCCTTTAAAAGCGAAAAACAGGTTTGGAGATAGTATGGTGCGTTTTATGCCAATCTTCATATT